ATCGAATTATAATTATCAAAAATATACAAGATTGATTTGGAAAAATTAGAATTTGCTGAAAATTCTACGTTAAAAATAAGGGATAAATATTATGGTAGTTAGATTATCAATGTATATACATTTTACAGTTCAACTTCAAAAAGTAAACTGTTCAATCGAAAAGTAAGCTGTTCAATTTTCGCATAACAAACAATAAAGAAGGCACTCCGCCTTTTAGAAGAGGCGAAATGCTTTCTTTATTGTTTGTTATGGGAAAATTGAATAATTCTGGTGATGTATGTTTGTTTGTCATACTTTAGAAGCACAATGCTTTCTTTCAACCAGTTTATGGTCTATAGGTGCTACGTGCGTTCATCCTCGAAATGTTGTACTGTTAAAGTAATTTCAGGCAGATAATTTCAGGCGACAAGCCTCTAAAAAGTGTTAGTAGCTCAATTTTTAATTATTACTGTTGCTATTGCCTATTGACAACGATACTGCCGTTGTGGTGCTGATAACACAGACGTGGAGCGTCACTGCCGATGATAGTGCTCTTATTGTTATTATTGTCATTAATTATGGATACGTTGATTTGATAGCCAACAAAGAGCAGTAAGTAAATGTCTTTTATTAGTAGCAGTTAGTAGTAGTGATATCTCCTCCGGTGATAACAATTGTATTCCTGCAGGTTATGTTGATGATAGTGGAAGTGGCAATGTTTCATTTTAAACGATTTTGAATGCTCTTTCTCTGAATAGAACGTTCTGTTGTGTTCATCATTCAACATTTTCCTGATTTGCGCAAAGAAAGAAAAGAAAGTGAAAAATTCAGAGGAGAAGAAGGGAAAAGGCTCTATCGATCCTGTATTGTATTATTTATTTATTTATTCAAAATTGACTTTACTTCTGTGATTTCGCTGAGAATTATTTGCACAAATCGATAATTTCCTAAAATTGGAATTATGGAGTAAGTTTGCACAATTTTGCTTTATTTAAAAGTTATTTTCAAACTTTACTTTTACGAAGTTTCTTGAAAATGTACTTAAGATGAGCTTTCCTTTAGAATTTAATATTGTTTATGTCTGAAATCTACAAAATGAAACATTGGGCTGTCCATTTTAGGAGACAATATTTCTTGTGATAGGAAGAGAAAAAGTTTTTAATAATTAGACCCTAAGACTTTGAATTATCTGTTTTATAACTATAGATTTTGAAATTTTCATTTTTGTTTCAGTGGACTTTTCGAAACTTGAGCAAAACCATAGTCCTCTATTTTTTTTCATAGTAAACTGGAGAAAATTAACTGCCCACAAGGAATCGCACTTTTTTTTCAAGGGGTCAGATCAAATCTAGTAATTTGATTGCTGTAAGCATTCGCAAAATTAGAATTGTAATTCCATTAACCGATCTGTTTAAACATTTTAAATGGGAAGCTTAGGAAAATCTTTTTTTCCTGGAATTTATCTTGGATCGCAAAGATTTTAATTTTCGGAAGGATACTCATATTTATAATTTTTGAAGTATGGAAACTGAAGTACATGCCAGTAATACATATTTAATCACTAACTAATTAACTTGTTTTTTTTATACAAGAAAAAAATTTACATTTTTTTAGAGGACGTGAAGGGCTAGTAATTATGAAAATTAATATGGAAGTATTACATTGAATATCAAATTGTTTTCAGTATACAAATTAATTAGTTTCGAGTTATTCAATATTGTGCAACAACAGAGCAGAAATTGTAGTACACTAACCTGGAATTATTCTGTTTTTTTGTCTGTTTGTCTGCTCATCAGTTTGGAAGTAAAACAAAGATGGAACTTAATACAATGTCACATCATTGTTCTCAATTTAAAAATTTAAAAATGTTGAGAAACTTCTAAAAATTTCCAATTACAAAAGTCAAGTTTTTGAAATTGTGAAATCGTCAGAACGTTGTTAATGACCATATTCTTTTATTGGGTTAGGGGTTTTTTTTGTCAAAAATCTTTAAATGATTATAGTTTATGATGTTTTAGTAAAGAGAATATTTTAATTCGAATTGTTCTGTATTGTCATGATGAAAAAAAATTTCGATTTATGCAAATAGGAAGGAAAGGAAGTGAAAGAGTGACAGTTTTCCTGCATATTCATTTATTCCACTTCTCCGCATATATTGGCTTGTCCACATATTTGTATTGTTTATGTCCATCTGTCTGTATTTCTCTCTTATTCATCCGGAAGATTTGCACATCGAGATCGGGATATTAGCCATTTCGCATGCTCAAAGGGACTGCATTTTGCAATGGTTCTCATTGATTATTGTCTTGGAAGAAAAGATGTTTGATTAACGCAGTGTCCTTATTAACGAGAAGCAAACAGATGGACATATACTTAAAATTAATTTAGAAAATCCAATTAATATTAGACGAATAGATGATGGTTATGGGCACTGATGGATAGTTACAATGAAATCATAGTTGAGTGGAATGAACTCGGCTGTCGAGAGAATGATTCATGCTGTAAGAGAAAAATGTCGGAAATAAATTGGCAAATGAAAAAGTTCACTCGAATTTGGCCTTCTAGTAAACCATTCATTCTCTCTTTCTCGTTATTTACAGTTTGTAGTACTGCTTAAATAAGAGCAGTTAGTAAATAAAAATACAAACAAACGAGAACATGAGGAGATGAATTAAATAATCGAGTAAGTTAATGAATTTCATAATCTACATGGTAGTTTTCTCGAGATTTGATTGAGAGCATTTAGATATTTGTTGGTTTTCGGGCTGTCAATTTATGCATGTATAGTCATTTGCAACAAGTGGACAGTGCTATAGATGATAAGGAAGAGATTTGAATAAATTATGCATAGTTGAAGAAATGAACTCCAACTATAGCTGCTCAGGCTGCTGATACAGCAAGCATTGTAATGGACTGTTATCAGAAATGATAACCTATGCCTATGATATAGGAATTTTGAATCAGAAATGTAGAGCTCATAAGATGTAATTTATAAAATAGATGGCATCATGTGTCCTAAATTTAACTTTCTATGAAATTATTTTTAAAAGTTCAGGAAGGAGGTAATTTTTATATATCATTGAAGCAGAATAATGTATAAAATAATGACAAGTTTTTATAAAAATTTCTGTCTTGGGAAAATTTGTGTTTGAAAAATATTTCTTTATAGGGACTAAGAAATCGTGGCACTTTGCATATTCTACTATTATTTAAATTTGTCCTCAGGAAGGGGCAAATCCGATTATACTGTTTTTTCTCTTTCTTTTTTTTTATTTGGAGGACATTTTTCTCTATCTTGTGGGAAATGATTTTGAAAGATGCTGAGGGACGGAGAGAAGGCGAATTTTGAAAAAATCTAATTTATTTCCGTTCCGTAGTTTAATTCCTCTCTGTCTTCTTTGCCGTACGTTTTTTTATTTTAGTTGATTGTTGGGAGATTGTTGAGATAATATCTACGAGGACATTATATTGAAAAACGGGTGAGTGAAAGTTAGCCTTTGTTAGCATAAAAGTGACCAATTGAGTTTCTTCGAAGCGAATATAAATCATTCGAAGGTAATACAGTACCGGAGAATATATCTGCTTCATGAATAAGCTGTACTTTGGGACTAAATCTTATATTTTAATTGTTTAGTGTTCGAAAGAAAGGAATTATTATACATATATAACCCAGTTATCTTTTGATTAAGCACATGATATGGTGTAGCAATTAATGATACTTGAATGAAAATACATTTGATACAATGAGCTAGAAAGTGAGCAATAAAATTAGAGGGTATACAAATTGAGTTAATTGAGGATGTTGATTGATTATCGTGAAATGTGCTTGTAAAGTTCTTTCTTTAATTGTATAGAAGAGATGAATTTAGAGATAAGTTTCATCAGTAATTCAGTTACGAGGACAATCGAATGATTTGATTTGATACTGTTCCATTTTTAAATTATATTTCCATCCTATTTAAACAGCAAATTTTTCATTTAATTGGCTTTTAACCATAACTATTGGAAGGATTTCAGTTTAATGATTAGATTTTAGTGCTAATTTATTTTATTCGCCTTGTTTGATTATTGCTTAATACATATGTAGGATTTTAAGTATTATTACAATGCAATTTCGTTGGAGTTAGTGCTTCCAATTCAATCTATTAATTGCAAATTTTAATTCATCTTTTAATTACTATTGGTGGTGGAATTCAATATATCATTCATTATTCCTATGTACTGCTTCTTGCTACTTCATCTTTAAATTCCATTTCTTTTTTATCTTTTTTATTTGTAATAATTAAAATTTGCGAAGCGAAATAGTTTATCCTTTAAAAAAAAATTTAATGGAAAGATTTTTAAATTTTATGCTATACTTGATTGTGATTTCTTTGCATATTCTACCTCATTTGCGTATTGTTTGTGGTGTTGCGATTGATCATCTGTTGCGAGATCATTTGTCAGTTGTCCTTCAGTTGTTGATGGTATTTCGGAGGCTCTCACCTTTACCTGTCTTAAACCTTTTCATGCATTCCTGCTTGAGGAGGAGGTATTCATTCGAGATGACAGTGAAAATTTGTCAGTTCAGTATATTTCACTATGTTATTCTTGATAAATACAAGTTGATGCTAAGGAACAGAGGAATGTAAAAATGAGGTCAAGATTTTGTACACAGAAATTCACTTGTAATTTTTATCTTTTAAGATACAGCCTGAGTGAAAAAAGAACATATAGAGAGATTGATTGAAAGTTGCAAACTTCCAATTTCAAATTAATGTTTTGGTATTAGTCAATTCAGCAACAGATTTATTAGCAGTTGAAAATAGAACATTATGATACTATACCTTATATATATTTAAATGTAAAATTTTCAGAGAATCGACAGTAGCAATAGCAGTGGCAGACGTGATGATGTACGATGACACTACGAAGCAATGGCTTTCACCTGATGGATCTAATGAAGCAGCCCGATCACAAGTTCGAATATTACATAATGTTCATACCAACGCATTTCGTATTGTCGGTACTCGTTTACAGGTCAGGTTTTGTTTCATTTTGGCATAATTTTGCAATTCATTCAGTGTAATCAGTGTATGAACTCTTTTCTAAAGATTTTAGCAATTCATTTTGCCTAATAATTTGTGGCTCTTTACAATAAATTATGAGAAACTTTTGCAATGATCTGCTATGATAAGTATTACTACATTAAGTTATTTGAATATTTGAGAGTTATTATTTGAAGTTTTTAGGACGGACATTGGATTCTTAATTGCAATATTTATGAGAGATTGAGGTACAAGGCAGCAACGCCAACATTTCATCAATGGAGAGATGAAAAAAGAAAAGTGAATTTTTCACATATTATTGTTTCAGTAATTATGATTTTGTCTTATATATTGACTCATTATCAACTTTTTACAAATAAGCAATGATAATCGGTGCACAGACTATTTTAATAATAATTTTAGAGATAAAATAATATTTGTTTCAGGTATATGGCCTAAGTTTCATGAAGGAAGAAGATGCTCGCCTTTTCGTAAAAGTTATGACGCAGGCCTTGTCATTATTAACATCAAGTAGTGATTATCAAAATGGTAAGGTCTTGAAAGAAATTTCTATAACACCAGTTGGAATTTATGCAACATTACTAATTTTCAACTCATTTTATTTGGAATGTTTTTGATTACTGCCTTGAACAGATTCCGAGAGTTTGTCTTTTATATTTAGCGTTAAGACGTATGACACTTTATCTCTCCAAATATGAGAGATTCGGTTTTCGAATGCAAGTTGCTTATTCTTTGTCATATGTAGCAAAGTTTTTGAAAACCAAGCATTCTTTTCCCTTTATTCTAATTTGTCATAGAACAGTTCAGCAGTTCATCTTTCAATTCAAATAATACTTGTAATTCGTAATGGTGGGTATCGGATGATCAGAATTTTCAGTGCTTAGTGTATGTATTTCAGGTAGTGATTTGGGTTTTTCAAATACTATATATCAAGAACCACATCAGTTACATCACAATACATACAGTTCACCATCATTTCGAGGTGCTGACGATGAAAGTTTATGTTCTGGTGGTGGTTCGCCAGCACAAAATATGAACAATTTCCGGTTATTTTTTTTCATGATTTATATAAATATGAAGCGAAATTAGAATAATCGGAATTTAATAACTCTGAGTTAAAAGAAAGATTTCAGAGTATGTTTGTTGAAAATGTTGCTTTTTTATATAAAAGTAATGGATTTCGATTTAAATTCAGAACTCTGTTTGAAAATTGATTAATTTGAAGGGTGATTAATTTTTGAAGATAATTTGAATGATATCAGTAGCTTGTTATTTGGAATCGACCAAGCAAGTTTAAATGAATTTTCTCTTTTTAAATGGTTCTTTTTTTAATATATTTTTTATTATACTTTACTAAACTATAATAGTTTTTACGTAGTGTTTGGTGATCGGTCTAAAATGGATTTCAGTCGATCTAATTACTGTAATGTTTAAATGCTCAAAGTTGATAAACTGAACAACTTTTATAATAGATGCCAGTTTTTGGCGATATCGTGTGTTTTGAGCTTCTTATTATTTTGAATTTAATGGAATATATTAGAATTAGTAGTACGAGATTTATATTTCTTTGAACTTTCTGAAAGTTTGAATTTACTCAATGCATTTCATTATTGTAAGCTTCCAAGTATTTTTCTTCTAAGTGAAACGAATAATAATGCATTTGGCATTTATTTAAGCTTTTACTGCAAAACGCTATAGCGATTATCAGAAAAGATGGGAACATATGGAATAGGTAGAGCGAATCATATTTTGTTTGTAAATGGCAGAATTGATCAACTTTCGGAAGCTATAATATTAAAACCTGACACCGACAAATATTCTGAAAGAGTTATTACTGTAACTGCTGCTACTGTTATAGCTTTCAGTGCAGTATGAAGCAAAAACTAATGTTGATGGAAGGAAGAAAAAGAGGAATATTTGTGTTGTACAGCTTTCAAGGACATAGCCACAATTATATCATTGCACTTCAAAAGATTTTCTATTTCTTAACGAAGGAAAAAAATTTTTTTTCGTCAAAGTAAAGGATGTAATGCCGATGTAATGCTTCACTGCTTTCCCAGACCGTCGAAATCTCGAAGTTTTATCTCTAAAAAATGGATTATATCTGGAAAAGCCGAGCTCATACAAATGTTTTCGTTGTTCTCAGAAAAGAAAATCTCTTTTTTTACTTTTTTTTCAGTCTCGGATAAGAAATGACGATTATGATAGTTACATTTTCTGATGATTTTCGTGGTCATATGAATTCTAATGATTAGCAGATATAAATTGAAATTGAGATATATTTGAAATTATTCTTTATTTCATGTACAGGCATTTCAGATTTATAACAGCTGATTATGTCGTTAATTTTATCGCGAACTTTGCTCGAAAACTGAATTTTATACCTTAACATTTGCTCGACCCTGTCCATAACTTCTCTATAATTCCGAGGGAATATTTTGTTTGAAAATCGATTAACTGAATTTTGAGAAATAACAAATTTAATTAATATAGAAATGGATGAAATTCCATCAGTTTAATTTATTACTTAATGCATATTTAATAAACACTGAATGAAAGTGAGACAGGCAGTGCATAGAATTGGTCAAAAGTGCATGCCGAAAGCTAATGACACGATTTTTCTAAAATATCTCTCATAGCACTATGTTCATTATTTCTACGTTCAAATTGGTGAAATGAACTGACAATTTACTTGAATTTTTCAAGAAAAATATCTTAATTTCTTTTCATACGTTTTGCAAATGCAACTTTGTAAATTTAATTCAACCAAATTTTTGTTTTATTGATTTTTTTGGGAACCCAAATTTGTCCATGATTCAACATAGGAGCTTTTTGTTGAGCAAAATCATGTTACTTCAAAATATATTCCTTTTTTACCGCTTTTTATGTTTCCTAGAAAAGAGGCATTTCGAGTTGGTGTATTTTTTATGAATGAACAATATTCGTTTGAAACTATTTGATATTGCTGAAAAGACGAACAAAGAATAATCCACTCAGTGCTATTGGGTGATTCTGCTATTGGAAAAACTGCAATAATTGCAGGACTGGCAAATAGAATTGTTACGGATAATGTGCCATTTGATTTGCGTGATGCGAAGGTCTTAGCCTTAAATCTTCGCGAACAAAGCTAATCAAAATTCTCCTAAGTTTTCTTTTTATCTATAAAAAATCCTATTTTTGATCCTAATTATATCGGTCTTTCGTAACAATCCATCAAGAATTTTGGTTAGCTTCTTAGACTGATTGGTATGATATCAGAAGTAGCATTAAGTGTCCCAAAACTAATGTCTTAACAAGTTTAAATTTCTATTAGTACAGTTAAAATTTTAGAAAAGAAAAATGAATTATTCTGACAAAAACGGAATTTACTGGAAAGTTCGACTTATAAATTTTTTTACAATGTTTTTTGCCATCTATTGCGGCTTTCTACTTTGCTAAATTTTAAGTGATGGAACAGTCATCGGCATTCTCTTGACGATGGACAGTATTTTGTGTATGTACAGCAAATAGACAACAACGATTTCAATTTAAATGAATTTTCGAATCATGAAATGATTCACAATTAGTCAAAACAAATTTTCTATCATACTGTCAGCACACTTTTTCTCATCTCATTAGTATATGTTTTAAAGTAATTTTTCTTAATTCGAATCAGGAATATTAATTCATTAGATAATTGGCACTGATATTTAGCATTTTAAGATTAGAATATCAAATAATTACATAGCAGTAGAGGATTAGTTTGGCAATGAAAAAGTTGTTTTTTTTTTTGCTTTTGACTGCTTAATCCAAATAATAATACTCGCTTATTCCAATTGTTAATCCAAAAACATAAATAGAGTAAAGCATAGCGAAAATAAATGTAAGAGAAGAGTTAATCATTTAAAGCTTTTGTAATTGTAATTTTTGATGTTATATCAATTTAGAGTAAAAAAGATGACCAGGAGTATATGTTGAAAAATTTTTTGCAACTACATTTACGGCAAAGCAAACAGAATAAAATTAGAGAAACGAGAACTCGTTTTAATTGATACAACTGAACTAAGTTGTTTGGACAGGAATTTGTCCTAATGGATACATTTTTTCAACCTCTTTTCCACCAATTTTTTTGTTTGCTATTCTAATGACCGGTTTATATTGTCAAATTGTGGATTTTAAGCCAAATTGCTCATCTGATCTTCATTATTTGGAATTACAATTCGTTCATGTTAAACATATTCAACAAACGATGTTCTATTAATGACTGTGGTCGTTATCCTAGAAAGGCAAATTTGACCAAATTTATCTTAATTCATCTATCATAACTTTTTAGCTTTATGCTATATCAGAATGTTGTTTCTGATTTAATTCTTTACGTCCAATTTATTTGAATCACTGGAATTGAATCAATTAATTCAAACTTCATTGTTCCTGTTATACGTATAATACATTCTCTAAATTAATGCAGCGATGTATATAAACGATTTCATGTTTTGCTGATCCATTGAGATTAATAATCATTTCGCATTTTAGTTCATAATTCTTCCGATAACTCTTCGTTTATTATTTTTGTAATTTTCAACTTTAGAATCATTAGTTCCATTCTGGTTAATAGCAAATTTGATAATTCAACAATAATTTCAAGATTATTTTTAATCTTGTTTGTATCAAAAATTTATATGCTGGCATTGCTATGTTTTTCTTATCTTAAATTTCGTTCTTTTTTATTTTTAGAAGCCATAGGAGTATTTTTATTAGTTTGAAATATATGGTTGAGAGAATGTTAAGTTATGTGAAGGCTTTTTAGATTTTTCATATGTATTTGCGTATAATCCAAGCATATTAAGTAGAAGGAGAAAGTAGGCAAAAAAAAAACATTTTTTTTTTACCTTAGAATTACTCTACACTCACACGTTTTGCTGCATTTGTTTTATTTTTCGAAATTTTTGCTCTTTTGAAGAATTATTTGCATTATAATATTTACTGTTTTGCATGGCTTATATTTGATTTAAATGGAAGAATGGCCAGCTGCTTGTCTTGATAAGCCATTTTGCTGACTGCGGAAATTATTGCCTTTCCTATGGCCTATATAAATTTTATAGATTTTAAGCCTTAATTTGTTAAGGTAAAAAGGAGCAGGTGTTAACTGAATGGCAAAGGTTTCCTGGTTGGATCGGTCTATCTTTTTAATGGTTGCTTCTTCATAAACATAATCTAGTTATGTTCATAACGAATAATGAAGCTAGGAGGGAGAGGGGAACTATCATTAAATATTTTTTTTTTTTTATTTTAATGAAAATTGAGGAATTATTGCTTGACAGTAACATTTATTTTAATTGGAAGTTAACAAGAATTGATCATGTTAATTGTAGAAAATCGTCACAATCGGTACAAAGTTCAACCAGTGGTACCGGAAGTGCAACAACCATGATGGCATACAATGTACAACGGCGTGCTTCACAAGGTTCATCGAGTTCCTCCAATGGTTCCTCACTACCTCCTGCAATTTATGCAACAAGTTCTGCCAATAATAACTGTCCTGCCAGTAGTTCTACTCGACCTGCTCCACTTGCATCTCTCGCAAGCAACTATAATTCCACACCATCACTTTCTGTTAGTTCTACCAATGTTGGTAAGTTTATTTTTCTGAATTTTTTGAGAAATTAACTTATGTGTCTTGAACTGACTTCATTCATTTCTAACTTTTCTCTTCTTTACAGCAGCAGTTTCCTCAAATGCACCACCAGCACCGCCACCGCCGCCACCTCCATCTTCCCTGTCATTGCGCAAAGGAAGTGGCAGTTCTATTGCAGATCAGTTGAAAAAAATACAACTTCGGAAAATCAATGCACCACAATCATCAAATTCAGGGGCTTCCGGTATTTTTTAAACTTGAAATTTAAATTTAAGATTCTTTTGAATTTTACTATGCAGTCAAATATTTCCTGTATAGTAGTGGTCAGATCTTTCTCAGATTGCAGCTTTTTATGTAGTTCAACATCTCTCTACATTGATGTTTATATCTTACCCTGCAAATTTTTTTCGGACATATCTTGTCATTTGAAATTTTTATTGTGTTGAAAGACAACTTAAAAAAATGAAATTATTCTTTTAATCGTTTATAAATGTGAAGACTCATTGCGTTTATTTTTTTTTAATTGTTTATAAAATAATTTTTTTTACGACGTCGGATGCATTTTTTAGGCGGTAGTAATTTGTTATCAGAGCTGGAAGCAACTCTCAGCAAACGTAAAAATCAATGTGATAATAGTGATTCTCGCTCTATCGGTTCGTATTTTTACGCAAATATGAGAAAAATAATACATTGCAATTGTAGTGCAGAAATAAATCAGAATGTGTCATAATTGATTCATTTAAGGGAGTGATACGGCATCCTCAACAATTGCTGTCGACAACGGGACTTTACGACGTCCGTGGGAGAAGCAAGTTAATGGCAATGCAAATATTATTGATTCTCCAAAAGTAAATTGCAAGTAAGCAGTCGTTGTTAAAGTATATATTTTAAGCATAAAGAAGAACTCAAATGGAACATCAGTTTGTGAAATTTCAAAAGTCATAGGAGATATATCCTTATCTTAACGTTGTTTAACAGTGCTTTTTAAAAAAGCAGATTTTTTACAAAAAATAACTGTAAAGAAATTTTGGACATTATTGTTTGTGTTGGAACTTATTAACTTTCACAAAGGTCATGGTGAATATATAGTCAAATTATTATAATGTCTTTGTTAGTGCAGCGTGGAAAAATGTCACTCGAATATTTTTATTGATCTTATTTTGAAAAAAAAAGTGTTGCACACTGGACACAGTCATCCCAGACTTCTTTGCATTATATTATCTCTCACTTTTAGTTTCAATCTTTCATGTGAGCATAGCGTTTTTTTTAGATGTTTCTATGATTTTTTTTGAAATTGCTTATGATTTGTTGAATGGCGTCGAAGTTTAACATATATTGCCGCATGTCTGTATCTTTTATCACAAACATGGTTGATTCAACTGATTTTCAGATTATCAAGCTCGAATTCGTTGAATCAAGAGGAGTCACGAACTGGAGGACATGGTGCTGCTGTAACAATAGAAACTTTGGAGAAATGGAAAGAAGAAATTTTAAGTGAATTAAGACAAGAAGTAAACAAGGCAAAAAATGAAATTATCGAAGCTTTACACTCCGAATTATGTTTGCAGCGAAGGTAAAAAGTGCTTCTTTCATTTTTGTTATGCTCTCCATGTCTGTGTTAAAATAGAGTTCTGATAATGACATGTTTTGATATTTTGTTTACTTATATTAGCACTGCGATTTATTGTCAACTCAATACTTTCATTACTTTTCTCCATCGATTTGTGTTACTCACATTCTCTGTCTTTTATTTTCAATTATGTAATTTCTGAAAATGAAAATAATAAAAGAAATGTTAGCCAGTAATCCATCACCACCATACTTTCACTACTTTGTGACATGCATTCCAGATGGCTATAGACTTTTGTCTATTTCTTTTATTTTTTATATTGCCAAAAGCAAAGAATGTATTAAATGATATTAGGAGAAATAAAACTTCATAAGTTAACTAATGAGGAAGTTATTGCTTAATTTTGATGAACATTGAAGAGTGAAGAATGTTTGCTTTCATCTGCTTCCGTCTTTTTCGTGTCATTCTTTCACTCTTTGCTTGCAAATCTCCATTTATTTGCTTATAGCTTCTATATATATGTGAACTAGGAGTTGACTTGAAAAAATGCGAGAGTTTAAGTATAGTGTTATTGTTTTTACTGGTAGTTCACATCTCTTCCGTTATTGTATTCTCTTCACTAAGAATTCTAAATTACGGTCAACCACTGTTCCTTCTTAGTGATTTCCATTATTATGAAATTTCCTTTTATATTCAAATAAGCTTAAATGTTTAGTCATTTAGTTATAGCAAAGAATTTTTTTTTTTATTTCTGTTATATTATGGAGATATTGAAAATGAAATATTTTGTGTTTTGTGACATTATTTTAGATCAGTATAAAATTCTGAAAATTTTGAAGTAACGAAAAGAAATTTTTCGGCTGAACAATCTATTCAAGTTTTTAAATTCGTACTAAATGAAAAAATGAGGTAAATCCAAATTTTACGCTATGCAAAGAACAAATTCGCTTGGCAGTTGATTAAATTTAATTAAAATTACGGGAAGTAGATAATTCTGTCAATAGTTTACTGTACTTTCTGGAAGGTTTATTGTCAATTTTTTCAATCATTGTGCTTTTTCCATACAATTTTTTTTTTCAGTTTCTAAGCTGGTATTGATATATCAGTGTATTTGAGCTTGCTCTTTAGTGTTGCCTTTTTTATTTGTCATCAAAACTGCGCCGTTCATTCACCTAATATCACTAATGCATTTCCATTAGGGTGTCCACTCTAAAATGTTTTTTTTAAGTAATTAATTGCAACATTTCTTTTTTCTATTTATGTATGTACGGTTGACGATTCGTAAGAATTCACAAGTTTGGATTTTTCTAATAGATTCTGGAATATAAAGTGCATAATTTGCATTGGAGCTTTTAAAGTTTTTGATAAATGGTTTATAGGAAAGATTTGTTAAAGATCGAAATTATTACCTCTTTGTTATCTTTTACAATTTAACTGGTTGTAAAATTTCAACAAACAATCGAGATATAAGTGAATTAGGTGAATCACCTTATATTTATTTTATGTAGAACTTTTAATATATCTTCGAAATTTTACCCAGCAATGATTGAGTGTAAAAAATGATTAATTTATGCACTTTTATTCATAAAATGCTGCTTAATGTTATCAGCTAATTGAAATTTTTTTTATAAATTTTCTTGTCGTTACCTTTTAAACTGTTTATTTTGCAGAATTTTTAAAAAACCATTTTAGTTGATAAGATTTTATTTAGCTTCTAGGTATCATTTGTCACGTAGAAATAAAACCTATCGTTGTTATCATTACAATAAAATGATGATGACAACAACAACGATAGATATCGTTTATACACACATAAACAGGAAGATTGTTTACTTGATAATTTGATAGCATAGCATTAATATCGATACCGTGTCATTTTTGAAGAATAAAAATTGTTATCAATAAAATTAATCTTTAAATAAAATTAATCTTTAAAAGACTTATTAGTCAAGTATGCAATTTTCAATTATTTATTTTATGTTTTGTTGACATTTGGCATTATGTAATCCAATTAGGAATTTGAAATTCTTCCTTCATATGTCAACATCGATAAATTGATGTAAATTTTTGTAGGTATCCATGTAACTCTCTGTCTCTCTTTCTCTCTCTTTAACCATTTTTAATCAATACATTCATTTGTTGTCATCATTTCGTTGGTATATATTTTTTTGTTATATTGACAAATATATCCAGTGATTTGTTTCAATTTTTTATTTAATTTTAATTGAAATTTCAATATATTTATGTCTATACAATTTCATTGAATTATATTAATAGCGTAAAAATTATTTTTCTTTTATTTTATAGCATCTATTAAATAACAAGTTGTCAGTGAAATTTTGAGTAATAATTTTTTTTGAGCTCATCGGTTTCCACACAGTGTGCTTTCTGTTTTAGTAATAGCTGTCCTATTGTGTTACTGTAATAGAAAAAATTATCCGAAAAATTTTTTTTGTGGTAGTTCAACCGATTATGAGTCATTTTAGGACAGTTTTCAATTTTTTTGGCTAAAAGAAAAAGGGCAGAATTAGTTCGAGAATATAACCTATCGTTGTTCACAACTGACTGGCTCTTTTATCTTCAGATATAAAAAATTTTTAAATTTTCAAAAAATGGAACATATGTATGCCTAGCATTGGGAATTAAAACTTTTTTAGTTTGAAATTTCATTCAACAATGGAACGTTTGCTTTGCAAATGCCAATGTTCAGGGAAAAGTTTTAGAATATCATATATATTATGCTGAATGCAAAGTCTTCTGAAATTCATATCGTTGCTTCCATATCGAAATTTCCTCATGGCGTGAAGTGAGTTTTATTCGCAGACTGAAATGAATCTATTAGCTTTGTTGCTAATAGCAATAGTATTGGCGCATACGGATATTGAACAAGTTGGTGATTTCGATTATTTCGAACTAACCTTAATTTACCCAACATCTGTTTGTCATGCTTATAACCAACCTGCTAGATTTATTGCCAAGGAGACGATTAATGATTTTTGCAAAGTACCTGTCAACGCTACCCTGTGGACAATTCATGGGTTGTGGTAGGTCCGAAGAAATTTAGGTTTTTTCTTTCAAACGCTCACATCTAGAAAGATCCACGATAAAATTTTTCAATTCAGATTTTTGATTTTTTAAGTGTAGTAAGTTTCGAAAAATTTTTACGTAATACGAGTCTCAAAAAATTTTTACGTAATACGAGTTTCAAAAAATTTTTACGTAATACGATAATAAGGGTTATCCATTTTCTTCATTGCAAGGCTTTATTTAAAATTTTGTCCAATTGGTTGTAAATTTATATATAAATATCTTAATTATAAAAGTGAATTTCGAATTTTCTCGATTTTAAGGCCAAATTATAAGGACGGATCATTCCCGCGATTCTGTGATCACAAGAAGAAGTTTGATTTATCCAAACTTCTTCCAATTAGACAAAAATTGGAAAGGAACTGGCCAAATTTGCTTGTAACGCAGTCTGTATCGTCACTTTGGTAAACTCAAATATTTTTCTTATAAAAAATAGCGAATTCAAGAACTAATGTTGAAAAACTCTTATCATCGATTTCTTCCTTTCAGGACTTATCTTCAAGAAGTGATAAAAGGCTTGTTAATGAATTGTTTTGGGATCAGTAACATTTCGTTCTCAGTTAGTGATATCATTACAGGAAGCATGAATGGGAAAAGCATGGAACATGTGCACAAGATGTAAAAGAAGTCAATGATGAAGTGAAATATTTTAACAAATCTCTTGTTCTCTATGACCAGTTTGATATCGTCGGGTATCATTTTTGATTTTTATTCTTGCAGTAAAAATTATCGTTAAGTAGTGATATTGGTGAAGAACGAAATCCAGTCAGTCGGATTTTTAGCTCACTGCTGTTTAATTTTTTTTCCTTTTTTGAAAACTTCTTTTGAGTATGGTTAAATTTAAAATAGGAAAAATTTTCTAAAATAAATTGTTGAACGATCGTAAAAATTTTTAAAACATCCATAAAATTTGTAATCTCTTGTTTGATCCAACTTGTTAATATTTAAAAAATCTACAAAAATATATTATTTTTTCAGTTTTTTCTTTTTCACTTACACTATTCTAAATTTAAATTTAAATTTTATAGAATGTTGGAAAAACAAGAAATTATTCCATCACAAGAAAATTTATACGATAAAATGTTATTAAATCGAAGTCTAACATCTGCTTATGGAAAAAATGTGGAATTTCATTGCCTACAAGATAAGCAGGTATTTTTATATAGCTTGTTTATAATTTCTCTCACTATTAACTATTGCTTTCACGCATTCATTATTCACAGTTTGCAGACCAAAAATTGGTTATTAGCTGATGTTCGTCTATGTTTAACAAAAAATTTCCAACTTATGGATTGTAAGATGAAGCCGTGGAAATGGCAAAATTTGAAAAAGTCATTCTCATTAACATATCAGTCTTGTCCTGCATATGATATCGCCTATCCTACTTTCAATAATACTCCTTCAGTTAATAGCAATAGCATAATTGTCGGATGTTTAATCTTATTCTCGACATTGTATAGTTTATGGAATTGCTTTTATCTTCAGACATTAGCATTCTAAAAATTCTAATCGACTCATCAGAAAGTTCATTTTTTTTCTGCTTTTCTATTTCTTTTATTTAATTACTATTTAGTATAATAAGGAATAATACGAAAGAAGGAAAGATTTTGAGAAAGTGAAGTGATGAGAAATTTTAGATTATCAGAGAAAAAAGCCTAAAAGTTAAATATTACTAAAGAATACTTTGCGAAAGAGATTTGGAAGATTTTTACATAAAATAGAACAGTTTTTGTTGATAAGTTACTATTAGTCACTGTTAAAATTTAACAGTATATCAAAGATAGCAAGTTTTTTTCATTCCAATACATTTTGGCATTCTCAGTTTATAAAATATTTGAAATATACATATTAAATTTTTAGTACATTTTCTTCGTGAAGTTTATCTTTTTATTGTGTTATTTGATGATATTGTTTAAGCAAGTATTTTTTGCTCATATTTTATGATATTGCCTAAGGCAACTACTTTTTTTGCATTTCGATTAATTTGCATTTATATTTCTATTTCTGTATTCCTTTACTCTGCTAATTTCCCTAATTTTTTAGAAGAAACTCGGAAGAGAGAATCATTGATGTTGCATACAATCAATAATGATCATATGTAGGTAGAAATTAGCTGTAAATCAATTTTTTTAGCTGGTTTGTTTTATATCTGATGATTTTTGAAGTTTTCCAATGACAACAATGAATATCTGTGATATCCTAATTCAGTCTTGAATTTTTTTTTCCAAATTATTTTAACGAAGAGATGAGAACGACCATTAGGGTAGATGAAATAGATAAGCGATAAATTGACATGTACAATTCAAATTTTTGGTCTTTCTGTGAAAGGTTAAATTTTATTCGTCTTGTTAGTAAGCGAATGAGTGGTTTTATTTTACTTTTATACAAAAACTCATATACACACTGAATGAATCATTACAATATGATCTTTTTTGAATAGAATATGCATAAAAGTGCACGACAATAAAATCGTAAATTGAACTCGTTAATATTAATTCCATCACTGATAATATCTAAATTTTGTAATATATTATCTGCGAAGCAAAGAAGGAAAAAATGTTTTCAAATTTATATTTTTCAATTATTAAACAAAAATTCTTTTGACTTCATAAACGCTTATCAGAATTATGCAATTAACTGCAATCGATCGTTATGGATATTTATAGTGATACTGTCACTTTAATTTCGTCAACTCAATAACCATAGCAAAGCGGAACATATTTAAGAAATGTTTGTTGTGCGAAATATTGTGTGTGCTCACGAAGCGGAAGTGTCTTTTGAATTAATAGTGGAATGATAAGAGGAATTGCATTACTCCCCACTATCACTATCTGCAGAATAAAGATGCTATCATTTGAATTTATGTGCTCCTTTATGGTATACCAATCATTTGATAATTATTAGAAAACTTTTTCACCAGGGCAAGCTAAGAAGAAATAAGTAAATAAAATTAAACTTTTCGATGCATAAAAATTTCTTGAGAATTAAAGGCAAATTAAAATTTGTTTGCACATTTATGCAAATTTTTATATTGCTAAATGACTTCATCTAAATATTTCCCCATTACACAGTTTTTGAAGGAACAATATGATTATTACTTCAGTAATTAACTACTTATTATTCCGGGAAAAAGCGTGACAAATTCAACTGAATTTCAATAGTGTAAATAGTTCTTTTTTCCTTTTTACTTTCAAAATGGAAAAAACCTGTGCTAGCAACAAAAAAATGAAAGTTATTGCAAATAAGTTGTAGAAGAAATATAAATGATAAAAGTTAAAAAAAAATGCCATTAATCTTTTCCATGTTCTGACAGTTAAAATCAAGAAGATATTCCATATCACTGTAAAATTTAAGCAACAACACTGATCAGTGTAGATTATCAAAAATTGTAAAATATATCTTGAATGTGCAGCACATATATTTACCTAACTGATTACGCAAGCAAACAAAAAATGGAAATGCATTTGAGCTAAATTAGCCAACCAAAAGTAGTTCTTTGCCAATGATAATAATTTCATTAGTCAATTGAATTATGAAGTTAGATAGATAATTCTGAAACGGAAAAGTAATATTAACAATGTTCGGAAAGATATTTCCTATCATCTGAAAATTATCGTATTTGATTGTAATATTCGGAGAAGAAAGAAAGTTCAGAAGATCGCTCTGCTTTAGTACTGTAAAAATTTGAACTTTTCACATCGTTAACAAATGATTAATAGAAATATTCAATAAATTCTAACTGATATATTATCACGGGGAATGATATAAAAACAATGATTCAATGAAAATTTATTACAACATTCGCTATAGTGACTTAACAATATAATACAGATAGTATGATGTTAGCGGTAGTACGATACAGAGAAACTTTTTTAACAAATTTTTACATATAGATTGATGTAAAAAATGATTTTACGGAATGAAACAAACGTGATGTTTGAAACAAATAAACTTTCGATTTTAGAAATAAAATTAATATTGATATTCTATTATCAAATTAATAGTGATAGCATTAATCATTTCTGCAAACAATCTGATCTCCGGATTTTTTTTTTAATTTTTACAATTCATTTTTATTCCATTCTGTTCATTTTATTTTCTATTATTTGGGTCAAATGAAGAAATAAGAGTATTTAATAAATGGATGGAATAGTATTTGCATTCAAAATAATCAGCCGATTGTGAAAAAACGTATTACTTTTCAGAAGTGCAAAAAAAAATGTTTTATTTTGAAGAACGATTGGTGAGATGTTTTTTATATAATCGGCTTGAAAAATTTTCTTTTTTTTTTCAAATGAGAGTTGCAATTTTTTTATTTCGCATTTTTTTTCTCTTTTTTCAAATTCATTCATTGATTATCCAAAACTGACAGCTTAATACAATACATCAGAAATCTCTCTTTCCGATTATTCTCAAAGCTAACTGATGATGTCTCTAAACTTTTCATTCTCACTTTCAAATTTTTTAATAATTAAAATAGTGAATGCATTAAATATTGAATTATTTGAATACATTTCATGATAGAAAACATTAATGTTATTATTAAATTGCAGTTTTTAATTTTGTGAGCAAAAATTGACAAAAAAAAATTTTTCCTGAATGGTACATATATGTATCCTGAATTAGTTATTTAGCTTAGAATTGATAGCCGATATTATAAATCCCATATTCAACAGATCTTCTATCTTTTTCAGTATTCGAATATTTAAAATATATCATAAATTCTTCCCGATCATTTTCTAGACTCCGTTAGCTATTTACATCATATACTTATGAATGGATAAGTAATGCCTATACTGATGCAAGCTTAATTAGAATCAAAAAATTTGTCTTCCTTAAACCAAAATATCATTCAATATAATTGATCTGTTAGTATATGGCACAATATCTGACAAGTATCCTTTTTACATTGCCACCTGAGATGTGCTGATGCATTTGAAATATCATGATGCCAATGATCATATATTTATGAAATTAAATTGAAGTTTACTCAGCTATAGCAAATAACTTCGATATATCATTTTTTTATTAAAAAATTATTGTCTGTTAAAACCTTATGCTAGATGTTGGCTGTTACCATTTGTGTCTGATTTTCGCTTTTACTCTCACGGTAGCATTATGTGATCAATTTTCAAATTCATTACAATCACTGTTTTATGATTTTGAATTAAAAGCGTCTAATTTTTGATAGGCTAACACACAAGAAATATTCAAAATAGATTATTTCTGGAGCTTAAAAAATTAAATATAAAAAGTGAGCAGAAAATAAAGTTTGACATCTTTTCAGATAATTTTTCTAATAGTCAAGAAAAAAGAAAAATGTTGCAGATAAAATGATCTGTACTGCTGCAAATAAAAAAGATACATTCTCAGCGGAATATAATATTTCGAAACGATATTGTTGAGTAATTGGTTGCATCTTCATGGCATTCAAAAATTTTAGAAATTCTTCCTTATGATATTGTATTGTTACATTTGTTTATTTTGAAGTATAATTTAAAGGAATTTTGAAAACCTAAGAAATGTGGAAGATTCGCCGATTTAGCAATCGAATATTCATTTCAAAGTCAAATGTACAATAACTATTTGTGTAAGCATTCATTCATAAATGCAACAAAGACAAAAAATAGTACCGTAATTGAAACCATACTGCACAAGTGCTTCAATCATGCTGGGATGAGGTATTTTTCGGCACAACAAACTATGAACATATGCTTTCTGGAGTTTGCTATTGGTTTTTCAGTTTCAAGAGAAAAAGAGATATTACAAAATATAATTCTAATATTTAATGAATTACTTGTTACTGTGCAACGGCAATCAATTTTAAGTTTGCAAACTGAACAAACATTCGAACCCTCCTAAAAATCACCAACAAAATGGCACAAAATTGTTCAGCAGCTATATTTCATATGACATTTGCGTGAGTTCTGAGCGCTATGCATTCATATTCATATTCAAATCAGTTCCACTATTGTTACGATCATTTCTCACAGTTTTACCATATTCTTTACACAAATTATTTTGTTCTCGGGATGGAATGCACAGCTTAAAATATGTGATGTCTGGACTTCATAGACTTCTGAATAAGTACATCACTCCTTTGTAGAAACCAGGAGTTGGAACAAAAAGTTTATTAAAAAACAGCAAGTAACAAATAACAGTTTCATATTATTTTAGATTCCACTGAGATATTACCGATTCTTTCGCTTCTTGAACCCATGAACCTTTTTAATCTTCCTTTTCGATTTCTTTTTATGTGAATCATTTTCGTCTTCCAACATCGTCGCGAACTTGAAAAAAATCGGAACTTGAGAGAAATAAAATTATAATTTTAATTTTTTTAAGAAAAAACTTTAAAAAACTAAGCATGGAACCAAAATAAAAGTATGCCATAGAAAACAGTAATTTAATAATATAAAGAGGAATGAAGTGAAAATCGATAAAGCATCGTCGACCTATTTTTTCTAAACACCTGCATCATTAATTCCTACAAAAATACTTTTAAATATCGTTCAAGACATCCCGAAACAAACCTTATCAGCACTTATTATAGCGTCTTCCACATAATTGAATTGTTGAGCGAAATCATCTGAATCATCACTATCATAAATATCCTTTGTCCATTTCACAAATTCGCCTTCACTTGATTCTTCTTCTGTCTCAGCATCTGATTCTTCCTTTAAAATCAATTCCAGTATGGGCTGAATTTATTCCCTACATGCGAATAAATGATGCCTATGAATAATCTAATCAATAGGGATTTGTTTTGACATTTAAATCAAAAATTTGCAAAAAAATTTACTGCATCACTGCATCACTACTGCTTTAATATTTATTTTAACCTCAACATCCTCTCCACTCCAATCTTCAAGCTCTTCATCTTCATCAACATCCATCATTTCCCTTTTTTCTATATCATCCTCTTCCTCCTCGTCAGTATCATTTTCAAATGGTCGCTTCTGGCCTTTCATTCCTTTCTTCTTTTTCGTCTTCTTCTCAATGCTAAATTCCTGACTGAAGTTAACATCAAATACTTCTCTTCGTTCACCCGGCTCAAAACGATCTAAAAAAATCAAAACACGGGAAGATTTTTTAACAATTATATGTCTTTGCATTAAAATTTAAACATATCTAAAACAAAAAAAGCATAAAATTATTTACTTAGCAACATATTGAACTCATCGGAGTTGACGCTTTCAATATCATCGTCATTATCATGAACAGCATCGTTTTTGTTTTCTTCCTTCATCCGCATTTTCATTAATGCAAAACGATGCAGAAACCTCTCATCAATAGGTATTTCATTTCTGCTTTTTGCAGCATATTCCTAAAGTTTAGAAAGATCCTAAAATAAGGACATGAAGCACTTCAATAGCAAACATGCTAAAAAATCGCTGTAATGAAGAATTACCTTCGATATAACTGGAAGCTTCCTAACGCCGTGAGGATCATAAACTTTGCGCCGCATAACTTTCTCATTTGTATCTTTCGTTTTAGGATTCCGAAACACGAAACGGTCAAGAAAGCGCATCTGAGTAAAATCGAGCAATGGATCACTGTCATATCGTATCGATACACCCTACAGTCATCAATTAATATCAGAATCCAAGAACTTTATAATCAAATGAAAACACTATAAATTTAGTATAGTTTATGCCTATTTAGGAGACAAAAGTAAAAGCTAAATCTGCTTTACAAATTATTTTGAAAATAAATTTCACGTTTTTCACTTACATTGAGCAAATTTGAAGCAAACACAGCAACTGAAGGATGATAATGCATGCTTAATAGTGTCAGTTCTGTAGCAATGCTTTTATCAGCACGAGAAAACAATGGATTTCTAACCATTGGATCGTATCTTATTGCATTGCTTCGCACCACTGAAATAGAGAGTTTTAAAGACAACCAGAGCAGTAATTCAAAAAAGTTAGCAACCAAATATAAATTGAAACACATACTAACTGACAAAACCACAGTTTGAACTTTCGTAACTCTTTCGTACATCGCTGACGACTTCTTAAAATGGTAAAAAGAAAACGATTAATACCAATGTTATTTTTGTGCATCCATCCGGAAATCTTCCTTTCACTCGGTTTGACATCAGTAGTCACCTTCTTATTACTTTCATATGTTGACTTTATGGGAATTTCGTCAGTTACTGTTTCTGTGGAGGAATCATAATCATGACACACTTCCTCGTCATCATCGAAAACTTCCGCTTTCATATTTTCACTGAATTTTGTAAGCTGAAATAATATTACTTAATTTGACAGAAGAAAAAATTGCAATAGGACAAAAGGCAGGGAAAGATATTATTCCTGCCTAGTGGATGGACAATTCAATAAAATAATATTTTTCATTCACCCCATGAGAAATAAAATGTTTTATACTATGATATACTAAAGCCTCATTTCAAAAATATAACGTTACAAATGAAAATTATTGTTTCAGAAATCGACCAAGGCTTATCAAACGAAAATGAACCGCAACAGTTCAATCACTTACATCAGCAGCTTTTTTAGTTATTAATAATGACGGTCGCTTCTCAGTCAATCGTGAAATCAAAATTAACGTTGCAGCAGCAAATGGAGCATTTCGACACAGAGACAGCTAAAAAGATCGAATTTCTAAGACTGTTTGTAAGAAACACCCTTGAATAAATAAAAACCGCGTTGTTATGAAGAACAAAAATTATATCACTTGTAAATTCAGAAAAATCTCATATCTTATTAGTATGGCTAAATTTGCATTGTCTATCTTCAAGTAAATACATTGGAACCAAATTTCCTAGGCTAATATTATCTTCATTAGATGATATTAATCAAACTTTACACGAATAATTCAGAGTTCGGGATTTATTTAAGCAAAACCAACCAAATTTCGGTGACTTCATATAAAAACACAAACCTGCAGAAGACGCTTGATGAATGCAATAACTCTATATTCAACAGTATCCGAAGATAAAGCTTGATATAACAATGAAAACAATTGCCTATCAGCATTTGTGCTATGTTGAAGATCCAATATACGTCGATAAAGAGCAGCATAGAAACGATCCGAAATCCCCTCACTGTAAGTAAATATGATAGATAACATTTAGTATTGCCTGATGTCTACCACCATTTTAAATTGGCCAATGATCATATTTTTAAAGGATGAATGGTTTATGAAAATTAATTATCCTGTCTAGACAAAGGACACTTTCGGACTAATGTTTTCCATATATCATTACATGCCGAGAGTATCTCATTAATTTTACTACTAAATCAAACTATCTAGGCAAAAGTATGTAAGAGAGAAACAAGATAAAGCAGAAAGTCTTAAAAACAAAGACCTCGTTGTAAGAAGCTGATATAATAACTTCAGTGTCTGCAAAGCAACTGAAAAATTTGACTGGTGCAAAATTTTGTACAAAGTATCGATTTCTTTCATCAATTTGTCTGCATCACCTGAAATTCCCTTTCAATCATAAGTTGGAGCTATTGATTTAAACAGTATTTAAGTTTTCATTATATGATTTTTTTTCACCAATTTTTCCACCAAATATTTTCACCAATGCTTTCCATTCGTTCAACGTCATGCATATTTGATCAATCGATAACATTGCAACTGTCATTGCCGAATTATAGAATGAATATATGCTTATAACGTAAATGAATATATGCTTATAACGTAATTGCTTAAAAACTTATCGATTCACTCGTAAATTACTATTCCGTTTTTGTGAAGCAAATTTAAATGTCAATAAAGCTAAACAAAGAAAAGAAAAAGGAAATTTCACAAAAAAGAAAACCTTTCGCATAGGAAAATGCCCGATTCGTAGCCAACAATAAAACATTTAACATTTTGTCATCGATTTTCTTATTCAAAACTAACATTCGAAACAGTCCTATATAGATATTAAGCAATGTTGATGCAAGCGTTGAATCACAGCCATGCAGATTCATTTGAGACAAAAATGAGATTGCATGAAGCTGTGCACAACATGAAATATTCCTGTAAACATCATATTCGCTTGAAATATCAAGAAAACTAGCAGTTTAAAGCTTAGAAAATTATAAAAGCAGCAGCAAAAATCAAAATGTTAAGAGAATAAGTTTCGCATATCGGTTGTAAAAGCAAACTTTCGATAGATAAGTCGCTCCACTTCTTTAACAACAACATGACGCATTAGCGGTTGTTTTCTGGTCAACTGCAGCAAATATCCACAAACACGTGTAGCCAATGTTTTGTTTGGGTGTCCAAGTTTGTTGACAAGCAGGGATAGCAATTTCTAACAAGAGGAAAACAGAATTTAACAGCAATAACGGAAGTCAAAGTTGGTACTAATCACAACTTACGATTTCCTTAAAAAGCATTAAAGGCCAAAAAAATGCGAAACTTATTTTCAAATCTAAGTTGACTGTAATTAAACACGAAACATTTTATCAGACAAATAACATGTAGATATGTACCTGTTCCTGTTCAGCACGTGCGATCAATAGTTCCAAAGCGTAACGACAAGACATTATGCTCACTTTTTCTATATTTTCTCCAGCCAGTCGCTAAAATGATAGATGATGATTTTATTGCCTGATTAACCACTTATATTTAGGTGTAACATTTAAATACTTATAATCAAATACATACCTCAATTGCAGCAATGAATTTCTCATATACGGCTTTCAAGTCCGATTCAAATTTCCAGAGTATAAGCTTTCTTTTTAAATTAAAATCCTTGCCCAGTGATGACAAATTTATTTTATCCACTGGTCTCTGAAATTTGACAACTTATGATTAAAAAAAAGCTTTTAACAATTATTATAAAAAACGAAATAATCAAAAATTAACCCACCGCTGCAAAGGGGATTAATTTTCGCTTTGGCGGTAATAATTCACTGATAAATAAGTCTTTTAGTAAGCCTGAAAAACGGCAGCGGTTGAAATTATTTGCACAATAAATATGAAAGTATAAAAGTGCTAATTAATAAATTAAACATTAGTAAGTAAACTGACCGAGTACAGAAAATGCTTCCCTTGTATTTTTCTTCGCGACAGTACTAACCAATGCAGCTACATGCGCAAGGGAATGAACTGGATATCGTTGCGTCAATATCTGCATAGCAGTTACTTTATCATTAGCAGTACCACGCGTCAAAACCATACTCAGCCATGCTGTTTCAGTCATGTTTTTCTTACTTTGCACTGCAATTCACTTTTATTTCGATGAAGATTGACAGAACATTAAAAAAACTGATAGATCTATTCAAATTATTCCGTAAAAAAATAAAAAATGAAATGAAAAGTGATATTCAATGCGCTTTGAATTTTCATAGGAACATTTTTAAAAATTTCAACAACTGACATTTTCAAAAATACTCTATGAAAAAAAATAGCAAATATCACGAGAGAAGGAAGTAGAACACGATCTGTTGAACGAAAATGCTTCCATATAAATCTGCTTCTACTGCACAAAAAAGTATTTAAAAGATTCATATTTTTGAAAAGAATACGTATAAACATAAACATACCCTGCCATTGCAACTCACAATCTCTTTTCAACAAAATTTCTGCTTGTTCTTCGATGCTACTAAGATGATTCAAATCAGAGGTTAGTTGCTCAGCACATTCCAGATCTCCATAATCGTACCATTTTGTTTCGGGTGAATATCGAATTAAAGGCCCAACTTCTGCTGATGGTGCCATTTGTTCAATCTTCAAATGAAAAAGCAAACAGTTTTCGACAGAACCACGAAATTTAACCTCTCATATAACAATTAACAGCATATATTATAAATAAAAAACAAAGCACAAGCACACAATTTTTTATGTTTGAAAAAAGGATTCAACTGTAAAAATCAATAAATCAAATGCACGAACATTCTAAATTCAAGTCAAACAAATTTCTGATTTAACATTATTTTTTCAAACAGAACTATCAGATCAAGAAGAGCATACCTAAATTAAAAACTGATAAGAACAAAATAGACTAATAGATGAACTGGTTGTAAAGGAAGCTGCATGATCCTAGGCAAAATTTCAATCTGATTATTGTTAGCAAGCAGCAATCACTTTAAATCACCTGCAAACTATGGAATCTTTTCAACAAGGCTCATTTTTTTTTAGAATCATGAGAGGATTTCAATATTGGAAATTATAACTCTTACTAATCTATGAATAAACTTAGCAACCCAAAACAACAAAAAAGTAGAATCAAAATTTCTCGTGATATTGAAGTATGATAAATTAAGTTTTCGTCCCAATACAAAATAAATTTGATAAAACAGTATTTAAAAGCCAGTAACAAATTTATTTTTCAAGTATTATAAATCGCATATTATAAAATAAGTAATCGCATAATCATTCTTTTCAAACAGTATCATTCAGGACCATGAACTGAGAAAATCTGTCGAGCCTTTGATAAATAAATATTTGCTAAACTCAGTATGAATAAAACGGAATAGCTTTGTTATTTTCCTTTTTTTTAAAAGTAATCTTACTTAAAGCAATTACAACTATACTGTGTAAGGAAACAGATCAAATTCAAATTCTACTGTCAAGCATACGACATTTAAGAACAAATTTTGACAAATCTCAACAATGGCAACACAAATAAAATGAAATATCAAAATATTAAATAGATGACACAACGATAAAAATAAACGTCAGCTGTTCGTGCGTGATTCAATAAATTTCAAATATCAAGTTCATATGAGATTCTTCCCAAAAATTTCAATAAACTTCATTACAAATCCTTGTCAGATCATTTTGGCTTCCCAAAATATTCTCGTGCCTTCCTTTCGGCACCCACGCAAATATTATATACTGGCGACAATCTTGCCTATAAAATAACAAACATTATAAAATAACAAACATTACGTGGAAACTGTTCATTTATAACTGAATGTAAAGCGAGTCAAATCTCCATACTGTATGTAATAAATCAGTAAAACGATACTATCTCCTATGTCCAAAATATGAGTTCTATCATATTTCAATTTGTTTTAAATTGTGATATTTCTAAACATAGTAGAAATGAAAGCTGAAAACCAGCCAATAATAAGTTAAATTCATACCAAACGATTAATTTCTCCACCAACAATAGAATCCGTTGTATAATACTGTGCAATAGAAAGCCCACTCAAAGCGTAACACGTGTGGTATAAATCACTTGGTCTTCAACATCATATAATTTAATTAAATTCAAAAAACAGACTTCATCATTACACTACTCACTTTGTGAATATTTTGCAGTTATAGTGTTAATTAGTTTAATTTAATAAAAGCAAGTTTTCAAACACTAGTACCAGAAGTTATGGATTCAAACTATGTATAATTTGCCACCCTTAAACTCTGCTTTTTTGAAACTACTTTAGATTCCGGAATTTCTACTTTACGAAAATCCTAAATCCTGGATCAGTCACTTGAATACTGAAGAGAGGGCAAAAATGATCAGTAATGGTCACCAAAATAAAACTTTTGGTTTTCTATTAATCGAAATTGGCTCATTCAGACTAAACTAGACCTACCGAATTCCATAGATAAATTACAAGACATGCAGTACGAACTTGTCTGGTTTGTCTCGTAAGCCACCATTTTCGGTATCTTGGCAGGCAACCAGAATATATTCTTGTAACGCTTTTCCATCAAATGATGAACAGATTTTACTTCCCACAGCAAGCTGGGCAACTTCCAACAGTGGAAATACAGCAGCTTGCCAAAAACTATAACAAGCATCAACCAATTTATTTGTCCTACCCTGGAAAAAGGGAGAAATTAAGCTAGTCACTTTAGAAATTTTAATTTAATATTCAGATCCACTTCTTCCCTTAAAACATCCTTTTTATCTGCAAGGAAAAGTGATAAATAAAGAACGATCAGGTCAAACTGTTTCGACTCCTTTTCTAACACATGAGACTCATTGCAAACAATATCTTCAGGTAATCGAAACGATCAAAACCCTGAATTTGACTTACTTGAAATCCTCCTTCAAATTTCATTTGTTTTTGGGCAAGCCATTTGTATAGTGACGGCGCATGAATCAATGCACTTTTTCCCAGTAGCATTAATGCCGCTACTCCACAAAACGTGTAACCGCCATGTGCTTCACAGCACCGTTCGCCACCAAAACCACCTTCATATGTTTGACAGCTGAACTGGATTTTCGTTTAATTTAGAAGAAAAAAAATTTCTTAAATAGAAAAGTGAAGCTGACGCCAAGAAGGAAAAATAAAAAGCAAATAGGCTGTGTTTAGCGATTAATTCTATAATTTATATTACTGAATAAATTCTCGAAAAAAAACCTGATAATCCAACTATCTGCATCTTTCCTTAAGTAGTCATCTAAAATATCTGTAATAGAAGCGACAGCAAGAGCACAGTACGATCCTCGAATATCAGCTTCACCGCCAACATGTAATCCAAATCCACCATCAGGACGTTTCACAGAATGCAGAAAATCTCTCAGAGTTCTCCTAATTTTATTTGCATTTAATGATATCAGTAGCATTATATGCACAGACTGTGTTGTGATTGCAAATAATTCCAATTCTCACAGAGCTTCCTTATAAATTAATGTTAGTAAGTCAAACTTTCCTTTCCAAAAAATGAAACAATTTAAAAAGGACATATATTACAAATAAAACAAACCTGTTAATACTTGCAAGCGCTTCATCAGTACCGATGCTTAGTAGTGCCATCACCGCACCATATGTTGTTGCCAAATGTGGATACTGCCCTGGGCCACCTTAACATTTAGTCTTTAGCTCTATGGTATAAAAAATAACAAAGTCCAACGCTAGATGCTCTCGTGACCACCAGTTGAAATATATATAAAAAAGATTTCTTGAATACATATGTCAAATGAACCAAAGAAACTGCTCACCTCCATATCCACCAGTAGGCCATTCACAAGTCTTCAAAAATCGAACAATGCTATAAAAAGTATTATTTTAATAAACAAAGTCAGATTCTGATTTCTGCCTTCCGATCTTTGGCTTTATTCTTGCATTCAGTGAGAAATCACTTATACAGGCACTATAAATCAATATTATTACCCATTCAATAAATATACTAATAAAATGCACCCAGAAGCTAAGTTTTCATCGAGTGATGACTCCAAAAGCCTTAAACTATGCATCCCCCAATAACAGAACCATGGCCGCGATGCATCGAGATGCTGAAAATATAAAAAAATTTAGATGAAATTTGAACTAACACAGCAGAAATCCCTTTCCATCTTTTTAAATTCAATTATTTCTCAAGTAATTTTTTTGAAAAAGAAAGCTGTCAATTATTTTAAAATTAGAGGAGTGACGATCAACACTATCACTAGGTTTTAATTTCAGCTCAGATTGTAAACTTCCTTACTGCACATGACCTTCCCAACTGCTTTAAAGATCGACAGACAAGTCTAGTGTGCAGTGTTCTACACAATGTCGGCGCATATTCTGAATCATCATCCACACTATCCAAATAAGCGTCAACGAATTTTCGGGCCTGTTCTCTGGCAAGTTCTTCAACTCGCTTCTGAAAACATATGGCTCTCCAGCCAGGAAAATAAACCTTATTAAAATTAGATCTTCACCATTTCTCATATAAAGCATGGTAATAACGATAGATCACCACCATACATCAGCTACCAACTGTAAATATGAACAATGACGTTCGCGACATCAAAAATGAAATTAGTCATGATAAATTTAGTGAAGATTTGAATTAAAATTAGTGCAGATCTGTCCCCGCTTATTCCATAAAATTTAACCATAACGATTGTATCTAAAGAGTATCCAGATAACCAAAGACTCCTGATACATCATCACTTTAACATACCTGCTCTGTACTACTGTAGGTAAAGAAGCCATCATCATTAAAAGCGTACTTCTCATCGAAGGCATTGAAGTTGTATACTGCTGACAATCCATCCATTAACTTTTGCAAAGTTGTGTCTTCTCCCGAAATTTTTCAAACAAATTTTACACAAACACTGGAATTAGGTATCAATCCAACCTGAGACTTCTGTGAAGCTGATGACTCTTCTCTTTCCTCTTTAATTTTTCTGTTCCATGCTAGAAACTTCATAATATTGAACACTCTGTTTATATACTAAGAACTTAACAATATATTCAACCAATTCAATTCTGCACATCATGTAACTCAACGTAAAAACAAAATTCCGGAATAAGCTCCAATATGCATGCTTACAGATCGCAAGGATTCGAGGATAACAAAAAACCGCGAAATTAAGTATGATTGAAAGGCAAATAAACAAACACGTTTATACTACCTCGAATGCAAACAATTAACAGGAATAAGAACAAACACCAATTCAAATAAAGTGAGAAGTAAACAGAACAAAGATATACGGCAGATCAGCCTAAATGAGGCCCAGAAATCACAAGATCATCGCGTTTTTTCCTGCCATACATGAAAAAAAATTGTGGAAATATCTATGCTTTACAACCAGACACAATCATGTCAGTATAATTCATTTCAATCGGTGAGTACGAATTTTTTGACCTAATTGCCTAAGTTCTCGAAAAATTCTTGAAACTACTTTCGTTATCAAACCATACGATTATCTTCTCGCAAGAAATGATATTGCCATAACTGTCATTAACAAAAAAGTAAGTCGAATTAAATGAAATTACTGTGGCATTTTGGGATTTGTAGCAGCAGCAGCATTTTTGGAATCATGTTTGCAGAGTCGAATCGACTGATGTTGGTAACCGTAAATAATTGTTATACAGTTGACTGTCTCTGTTCACCGTTGTTATTCATCTTGGATGAAGAGAGTAAACTCGTTGATGGTGAATTTCGTTTATTGTCCGCAAATGTAGTAGCTGCGAGAACACGTACCGGCAAAACATTGGGAGGGGGCATAAGCTCTCGATCGCTAAGCGTTATCCCGTTTGACAGTGTATTTACATCTGCAACATGACTCAAAGGCTTATCATCCAAAAGTAAACCGTCGTCATCAACGCACCTGAAAAAAATTAGCCAATAACAATGTTACCTTTAGACAAGATTATGTTCAATTTAATATGAAACCATGAGTTTATACTTTTTCACGAAATTCAAAAATCGATAAAATCAAATTTTATCCCTATCCTGTTTCTCACTACTTCTAACATCTCGATACTAAGAACACTGTACTTCTCCTCTCTTTTCATTTTTCGTGGCCGGCCTCTTTTCGGCTTTGTTTCGTTGCTATCCACTTCACCATTACTTTGTCTTCTTTTAGTACTCAACAGATTCCCACTATATGGCAATTTTGGCAAACCTATTTGGGCTGTTAACATCGACATACTCATATGACTGGAAAGATCTGTCGCAAGACCTAAATAGCAACTAAATTATAACATTCGGAAATGATATTTGCAGAGAAAAAAAAATCAAAATAAGGGGGGATTCAAATTTTAAAGAAACTGGAAAAACTATAATATTTTTACAACAGAAAAAGAAATAGTAGCACAGTTCCAAACGTTAGACCAGATACACTGAAAACAAATGAACGTGACAAAACCAATAACGTGGTGGATAAAAACCCGAAAACGAAGGCTGATCGGCCAAATCAGTTTTCCAATGCAGTTCGGGTCCAGTTGATGGTGGCAACGGTATTTCTCGAACCAGTGATTCTAAGAACTTAAAATGCGGAGTTTGCATTACAGCTTGTTTTCTGAAATTATACATAAATACTTATGAATTCGCAAATGTAAATCTAAAATCTCCCTAAATTCCCCCACGAACCAACAATGTTAGCTACATATTAGCATCAGAATTTACGGTTAATGTACATGGTTATATTATTAAGGTTAGGCATTGCTGAATTTTTAATCGAACATGACAAAACTATTGGAATAAGAATCCAAAAACTTACATATGTGATGGAGAAAGAGTGCGTGACGTAGAATATAAAACACACTGCGCAGCAGTTTCAAGTAGCTTTTCAGCAAAATGCTCCATAGCTCGACCAATTGCTACTGGTACTGATGCAACCATACGCCCAATCTCGTCATCACTTTGCATTACCCGTTTTACTCGAGTCTGAAATTGCAAATCTAAAGTAATTCTGAACTGATACCTGCTCACTTTGTGACGAAATCCGACCCCCTGAAGGCCGCCAATACTTTGCATCCCGAAACCAGATGCCACACGAAAAGCATGACCTTAAATGCATAATAACTGAATCTATCCGTCTCCGAAATTAATTTCATTTGTAGATTAAGAAATAAATTCCCACAGCTGAAAATTCTCGATATAATTTGTTGTGTGTAAATATTCGCACACAATATGGTACTGCTGGGATAAAAGCGAAATGATCAGCACAGAATGAACAAAATCTTAAATTAAAAAGGAAAAAAAAACTGACCGGTTGAATTTTGGCACTGCTAAAACGTCGTTTACGAATAGGTGCGACTACCGTACCCAAGCCTGTCATTCCGCTGGAACATGGTCCGACGCACTCGGAATTTCCACTGCTTTTAATATCCATCACAAAGGATTCAGATGTCTACGGAGAATAGGAGTTTCGAATGAAAAAAATTGTAGAAAGGCTGTGCAATCCTTCAGTATGAGCTGCAATTATACCTTTTATATGAGCAGAAGTGAGGTGATGTTTGTTTAGCTGTATTATCCAACTGATTTGAACTTTGTGGCATCCATCAAAGGGAACACAGGTCCAAGTACATCAAATACAGATTGCGATTCAGCATTTATCTACGTCTTATTAAAATGTTCACACTTTTCTTCGTCTTGATTCCAATCTCTTCTCAGTTCTTGAACCATTTCGAAAATAAGGCACACTTCAGCAAATAGAGTCGATTTGGTAATTTCTGAATCATTTTGAAAAAAATTTCTTTTGTGCAGGATTTAATAAACTGAAGCAGTAAAAGATGTGTGAGCTAAAATGATGCTGACAGAGGAACAATGTGCGCTATCCTTTTGAAAAAAAAACCCGTTCTAGTCATTTAATCATAAAAAATTTTGAAAAGCTTGAATTAATACCGAGTTAGGAAATCGATCCCTAAAAAAAAAAATAAGCCTGAAGTCTACCACGTATAAGGCGACGTGATAGTATCAAACTGCGTATTGACATTGAATGAAAATTAACGCGTCATGTGAGTTGCGTTATGAAAAGTTCGACGTATCATATTACTAATGATTGCTAGCCGAAAGGTAAGAATAGAAATTAGGGAAAATAGAACTGTAGACAGTACCGTAATTTGAATTGATCTTTGCGGTAATAGTTTATTGTGACCTTTAAAGAGGAAAGAGGTTGAGGTAGTTGGAGGAGTCAGAAATAATCAGTCTTGAAAATTAGAGGACAGAAATTGGTGATCAATTTGGATGTTTTGATTCTTTGCTATTGAGAAAGCTTTTTGCTCTCCTTCTTCCAATGGTACGTGATACTCATTAGAGTAATTATTATTATTGAAAATTGCGAAATGACAGAACGGAAATGATCCTGAAGATCAAAGATGACAATACCAAAGTATACCGATAGAGCTCGTAGTTCACAGTATCTCCATTATATTATATCCGCACCATCGTCAATTGTTTCTTTTTTTTCGAATGTGAAGAGAATAATACGTATAGGAGACTCTGTGTCATTTAATTTGACCTTTGATATGCCAACAGTTGTATCAGTCGTTGCCATCCATTCGAGTACCAATCATTACATTTGAAGAGTTATTACGTAGGATGACAACTGAAAGATAGAACAAAGTGGAAATATCAAATATTTTGGGATAGATGAGTTTAACACGACTATACTGCATGTGATTAAAATCACCTGAAATCTCTCATAGGCATTGTAAATGTTGGAACTGTAGGAAAGCTGAAATATTTTTATACATAAAATCGTTGAAATAAAGTGTTTTTGTATTGTAGAAATTTGTATTGCGAAGATTATTTCCAATGGCCTGATTGTCGTGAAATTTCTGGCTCTTTTTTTCAAAGGGCTATAAATAATTGTACAATATTAGGTGGCAACAAATTCTTCACTCAATTTCCTTTGTTTCCAAATGGACTGTAAATGACGCGCTTCATTTGTCAAACGGTCATAAAATATTATTTCCTTGACTTTTCTTGTGTTTAAAAAAAAAACAGAAATATGATGTTTCGAGTTGCATCATATAATATTACTTCATTATTGTCTTAATTCAAAATTAATAACAAACCACTAACCTTTTCAGCCTATTAACTATACCCGAGTAAACAAATCAAAACAGAAATTGTAGTTAACTCATGAAAAATATAAAACATCAAAAAATTTGATGCTTGTTATTTACACTTGCTAGTACTGATAGAGTTATTTCATTCGTTATTAAGTTCATACATTACTTCATTATTTTTAATCTATTTGTAAAAATTCGAAATCAACTCATAATGGTTGTATTAAATTCATGAGAAGTATTTTTTTGTATAAAATTATTCTGACAATTTAATGATGTATAACTTTGTTTACAAAAAAACTTCGTAACGGATATAACTTAATCTATCTGATCACCAAATAATAGTTTTGATTTTAAAATTGTATATTACTGACTCCAAATTTCTAATGTATTGATCATTAGTCGACTTCATCTTAAAAAAATCGCCATTTCTGTCAAACATTACAATTGTTAATTACCCTGACCTCTGACCTTCAACATGTATATATTATATATATAAGCCCACATTTTAGCTGAAGTTCAAGTTGAATTCAATTCTACTTCCAAAGTTTCTTTCATCTTACAATATCGTCTTCCTTGTATCAGTAACTATCTATCTAAGCCAATAAACTACATTAGCGATGTCTTTCACTACATCAAATTCAACAGTGTCTAGAACAAATCTTCTGGACTAAGTGAACTCCAAGTGAACCTATCAGATCGTGTTCTCATAGTTCGATCAATTCCCATCATAAAGAAACACAAGTAACCCTCCAATGTTAACACAAGAAATCTCTCCAAAAGAAAACCATCAACAAATTCGATTGTGCCACATAACAACAACACTCTCCCAAATCAATTCAAATCATACAAACCCATTCACAACACTATTTCCAGCAGAATACTTTTTCTACTAATACCAGCATCTCCCTGCTCTTAATATTTTCCGACTATTATCCGATGATGTTGGTAGAAGAATAAAATACTCTCTCAAACAGTAAAATCTTTTTTTATCATAACTCTTCTTCGTCTGCATCAACAACAATAACAGCAACCAAAAAACTTCCGTGACAGAAATATTGAAATAACTAATAATAGGGAATGATTGCAGTTAGATATCTAAAATTCATCATCTGAAGCATTCTTGAAAAAGAGAAAAGAAAAGAATCTGTAAGTAATTTCAGACTTGATTCCATTCAAATATAATATATCATAGTTAAGCTTCACGTAAGAGACCATATGTGACTTTTCTTTTTGTTTTATGTAAGGCTTCATCTAATTTGATGTAATTAAAAAATAATAAGCTCACCTTATTTGTAACCAAAACCAAAACAAACCACCACCTCCAAATAAAAATTGTATATGAATGATGTCCTACCATACTCTTTCTACTCTCATGTCATATGTAAATTTTTCATCGCTCCACAAAAACAATTTAAATAATTATTCATATTTGAGAATTTCTCACTGTATAATTTCATATTGTAAGGAGTGGTTGTTATTATCGCATGTTTTCTCAGTCGGTTTTCTTTTCTTTTCCCCATTTTCTTTCATACACGTACGTATACTCATCTTTCTGCGTCCATACGTGTATGCAATCCTTACTTTTCTGATATATGGAATAGAATAGCATGCAAAAATGAAGGGTACAATACAAAAATGAAGGTATACCATATATTCTTTGTATATATAGGATAAAGATGTCCTGTGTTGTAGATAGATAAATATATCATAAACGATTGGAAGATATTCAGTTAATTCTGTTCAGGTGAAATTATTTTCGAATATTCCTAAATCTTTTCTATTATAATTGCTTGAAATATACTAATAATTTCTCTTATAAGGAAGGGATTTAATATGACGTGTGTATAACAGAATTATTCATTATTACCACGTACATATTCCCATAATTCCTTCATTCTTGAATTATATAAATTTTAAATTTTTAATTAAGAAAGCATGAAGAGAATTAAGAAATTAGAATTTTATTTAGTCTTATCTATACCACATTCATCATATCTTATACGATCTTATACTTTGGTGTAGATCAACCGGGAACAGATTTTCGTCGCCTATTGATCACTTCCATAGCAGTTATTCTGATTATGTGATAAGAATGGCAGCTGTTAACAGATTGATTTGGTCTTCTTAACTTGACCCGAACTTCTGGTACAGCAAGCCATGCAAATGTGCAACTCGCAGTGGAACAAAATGTGTGTGTGTGTGTGTCTGTCTGTCCATCTGTCCCGTCTGTCTGTCTGTGTGATATGTTTAATTAATCACTTAGTTTTGATGTCTTGACAAATTTAATTAGGAACGATGACATTATTCGGTTGATTTTTTTCATTCTTCAATTCTGATGACTTTTTATCATTTCCCTCAATTGTATAAAAGTAACTCTCGAAGTTTTAGAGTTGAATTCCAGCAGACCGTGACTAAATCTCTCTATTAGATTCTATCGTCAACAATAGGGGAATTTTAAGTTACATTTTCCCAGTATGTAATAGTATCAGTCTGTTTCTCTTTCCTCCATTTCCTCCCTGTCTCCTCATTTAAACTCATATCATCATGGTAATTCGTCATCATCATCCACCACCGGATTTGCTCGTGTTTTTTTTAGAATTTGAATGGAATAAGCATATGCATATGGGTTTGCTACTCATTGCATTGATTTATTTATTTATTTATTTTCATTGGATTGATTTATTAGCAGATTTTCAAATATGCACATTGAAGCTTCTTCTTGTGAATGTATTTGATTAAATTGTGCGAATGTGATGAAATTTGTCTGATTGTAGAATAGTTCAATGTTAATGTCGCCAATAACACCAAATGAGGGCGAAAGTATTCGCACATTTCGACCACGCGGTCGAGGCAAAAGGCAGCCAAATTCAAACGGACCTTCCCATACATTAAAGATGACAACCGTTGGAGGTTGATTTTCTGTACTTTTCGCTGAATATATTGATAGAGTTATTATTAAGTTTATTTGAACAAAATAAACATTGATAGAAGTGCTCAGATTATGATCTTTTTCGTTTCTCTCGTATTATTAAACCTTTTTCATTAGCAAACTTGTTCGATGTGCATGTTTGCTTAGTTCAAGTCATATAGAGTAGATTCAATTATCACTTCTTATTTATTGCTTACATGATCTTTCGGATCCAGTGATTCTTTTAAATGCATGAATTTAAAACAGGTGAAGGAATGGAGATGGTAGGCAAAAAGATTTGGACTGGTAATAATAGTTCAGAGGCACTTTTGCGGCAATTTTCAATTTCCGAGCGGATGGATACGACAGATATGACGGCTGATACACGTCCATTTCAATCAGTATCGTCTCCAAAGAATTTATCTTCGTTGCAGTCGTGTATTCTTGATTCTACACCTCCTTCAGCTTCCGATGATTCTTTTTCGGTACAGATGTTTAATTATGGGAATTAAGGAGTGCTAAGGCATAGTTGGAATAGGGAGTTAGATGTATGTAAATTGAATTTTAGTTTTGCTGAAAAAATATGTCATCAGAGAATTTGTGTTTAGGCTCCTGAAGGTACAGTGAAATGCTGTGATTCGGTGCGCAATTCAGCAATATCTGATGATTGCCATTCGCAAACATCATTCAGTGATTTAACTGACTCTGATTTGTTAGAGGTTGAAAACTCGAGCATTCAGCCGGTGGAGTTGAAACATATCACGAGCCGTGTTCGGTGTGCAGGGTAATTATTTTAAAAAAGAATTGAAATCTTTTTCACAGTCATCATTCTCTTGTTTATAATGCATAAATGCCTCATAGATATTAACTAATTATAATTTGAGCATTGATTAAATAATTAATTTGCAAGTATTAGTGAAGAGCGAGTAAAGCAGAGTAAACTTTTAAAAAAAACTTAGCTTTTTTTAAAAAATTGAAAAAAATATTAGTGATATTTAAACTCGTGTCAGCTATTGCCTAGAAATCCTTGCAGCGACCGTAATATATTTCACAATCGTAGACCTGCGCCGTGTATTATGGCGCCGAAGTTACCACCAGCTCATCAGCGGGAAACAGTTATTATAAAAACAAACGTCTATCCATTGGAAGTTGTAAATCGAATTGTGTATCGTTACGATGTGAGGATGTATGCAAGCCGAGCGGATACGTCAAAGGAAAGGACCAGAGATTTGTGCAAAGGCGACAGAGATGAGTATGCTTGAATGTCCTTTCTTAGGGATTACACTTTAAAATATGTTTTAGATGGTGAGGAGAGCTTGTTTGGTTTGGAATGTTGAAATTCAGTATTAATTTATTTTCTGAAATTTAAAACTCATCTAGCATTGCATTAGATAATTGATGTAGAGTTAACTTTGAACTTTCCAATAGTCCTGTTGCACCTAATTTTAGTAGTATTGAAGTTATTATTACAGTTCTGGAGTGACTGTACGTCATCAGAAGTGTATGCTGTTAATGAGACGTGCTTTGGAATTATATCGTGTTCTAAATGAGAGTGGTGCTTACTTGTATGATTTGTCAAACACTTTGTTCACCAATGAGCCGCTTAATAAAGAACTGGTAAAATTCGCTTATTTTTAATATAAATTTTATCATTATTTGAATTTGAAGCTTTTGCATCAAGTTGGATTTGAGTAGTTTGTTGTTAGACAGAGATTGCTATAAGAGTTTGTTCCTTATGGAAGATGATTAATAATGTTATATAACAATTACAGTGCAGTAGTTGTTTATTAGTTTGAGTATGGATTAATAAGGAGTTGACTTCGATGGTGAAAAATTGACTTTTCTTGAATAATAGGAAAATGATCATTAATCATGTAATCAATCATAAAAATTATAATCTTAAATAAACGAGTAAAATTACAATCTTAAATAAACGAGTACAATCTTAAATAAACGAGTTTTATGTGAACATAATCATGAATCTTTTATTGACAATTTTAGATAATAATTGTTACAATATACTTTTATGACTTTAACATTTTTGTAGTATAAGATAATTTTCTATTCCGACACACCGAATACACCAGCAATTCAGTGATCTAAGGCTGATACAACATTCAGGTGATCCAAATGAAAGTTTTTTAGCTACCTCGCTTAAAGATATCGATGGAGCAGTTAACGCCAGAATTACGTGATCTAATTGGTGCATGCGACGTGTTTATTGAGATAACACCGTGTGCAGAAAGTGCTCATACATTCAATGTTAACGATTATCGTGATTCAGTCACGAATGATTTGGCTCGTCAAGATCACTCATTCAGACAGTTTTTTGAAATTCTCACAAATAACAGTGCTTTACAAAAGTATATATCTTGATATTAAGTCAAACTATTATAATTCAAATTACTTTTCTTTACAATATGGTAATCAAGTTTTTTACGGCTTCTATTGAGATTACACTACCCAAAGTCAACCAGCAAAAAGTGCGAAATCATTATGTCACATGCTTCTAAAAATAAGATTTAATCTCAGTTTTATTGTACAGTGGCTAACCCCTGCACTTTCCAGAATAAGGAAGAATATGATTTTCCTTCAATTTTCTTGAAGTGATGATTGATTAAATTCGTCGTTCTATTAATTTTTGGTCAAAGTCACATGTTATAGAACTTTAGTTAGGATCTGTAAACGTTTCAATTTAAATGAAATTGTTTTAAAAATTGAAGGGGAACGCACTATGCATTTGGTTGCGGTAAACTATTTTTGGTGGATGGCAAAAAGTATAAACTTGAGAAACGATCGCTAAGTGAAAGTAGAACTTTGGCCACTGGTGTTGATAAGGGAGTTCGCATTATCGAACGATCGAATGGCAGTATCATCCCAGCACTTGTTATTGACTGTATGATTTTTTTATTCTTCTGAACTTGTCGACAAAATTTTGAAATGTTTGAGTTTACATTAAAATTTTCAAATTATAAGAAATTTTTTTCAGTAAAAAAAGCTGCATTCTTTGATGCAGTTCCATTGGCAGATATGGTACACAAAGTACTGATGAAAAATGATTCTTGTTCCTTTATTCCTACCTTGGATACAAATCTTTTCAATCAATTTGTACACAAATTAAATGATATAATTCGAGGTATAATTCTGGAAGAATATGTAGATATTCATTTGATAAGGATTATCAAGTTGTTACTAATTTGCTGCAATGTTATTCTTGTGGTAAATACAAAAATTGTAAGAGTTTTTGAAAACGAATTGTTCAACCAAATTTTTTTTAGATCTTCGATTGGAACATTCGAACTGTACCAGCAAATCATTTCTAGCATCTGGTTTATCAGACAAACCTATCGGACAAATTAGGCATGCTCGTTCTTTTTATCCTTTTCAAGCATCGATTATTGTTGTACGCTCCATGTTCATTTATCTGTTTTTATGCAGTTTTTGTGGTTTAAAGTTAGATGCATTATAAAAACTTATTGATATTGCATTTCAGACTTTCTGTCGGCAAAAATGCGCCATCAATTCCAATGTTGCAGTATTACAATCAGCAGGGTTATCATATCCGGTAAACTCGTTCTCAAAACATTATATATTATATTGTAAATGTACCTTCTGGTTTGAACTAAATTTTCTTAATCTTCGTATTTAAATCACTTGTTTACCAATAAAATTATAGGAGACAACAATAAAATTGATTTTTGCTTGTTGCTTCTAAAATCTTCGATTCAATATAAAATACTTTATTTTATACGAGATGTTCATTGAATTTGATAAAATAAAGTTGTTTAAGGGCAGATTGGCCGGCCGTCCGTTTAATTACGAATTTTGGCACTTCATATTTTCCGATTGAACTATTGCGAATTGCACCCTGTCAAAGAGTGCCAATAAGCAAGCAGACACCGTCGCAAATGAAGACTACAATCAAAGTATAATTTATTTATGTAATGTGAAATATAGATAGCATATAAATTTGGAATTTAGAAATAGTGGGCTATGGATTATGAATTTTCTTATATTACTTCACAATCAGCTCACATCGTCACTAAATTCCATATATATCCATTCTGTTGTGTTTATCTTTAGTGGGGTTCGTTGTTTTTAATGTGGAATAAATGTATTGCAGGAATGTGCTATGCTCCCACATACACGTTTTCGCGATATCGCCCGAAATTTACAGGCACTTGATTTAGATGAGACAACACATTACAATCCATTTATGGCCGCTTTTGGAGTACGACTTAGTTCAGCTCCAATCACTGTAAGTTTTGCATTTTCTCCTTGTCGTTCAGTTAATTTCTTTTTTATTAGTCCTTCAATTAAATTAATTCCAGGTTAAAGGTCATCGTCGTCTTGCACCGAAGGTGCAATATTCTGATGCACGAGGTGGATCAGGTATCATAGACATCGATGCAAAAAATGTAAGAGGATTATGACTTTAAGATTTTTAAGCTAGAAGAATTTCATGTAGATTTTGATCATATTTTTTTTTATTGTAGGCGAACTGGCGAATGATTGGAAAGAAGTACTTGGTTGGGGCGCATCTTCGCTGCTGGTTCATATTTTATGATGACGCGAGAGATGGAGACATGGTTGCGTGAGTTTTTACAGATGGCAACTAAATCCATTATTTTGCTAAACAAGATATGTAATATATCAACTTCACGGGATTTACTGATAGTAAAATCATTCGTAAAATTTTAGAGCATTTGCAAAGACGCTGGTTCGCGAATGTTGCAAGAAAGGCATACAGGTCGTAGATCCTGTTATTAAAAATGTGCAATTTAAACAACTGGAGGCTTGCTTTATACAAATTCGTAAAACTTATCCAAATGAACGAGCATTTATGATGTATATTGATTCCCGTGATGATACTCATGGTTTCTATTACCATTTAAATATTTGATACATTTTATAAAACAGCTTTCAAAAGAACAAAAACTTTAAAATTACATGAAATAGGTCCTTCATATGTGAATTTAGACAACGTTTTAATTCTAAATATGGATTTATATTCATAAGCTTATTAATCCTTTCAGATGATTTAAAATTATATGAAGCTCTTTATCACATAATCACACAACATATACGTGGATCGAGGGCTCGTGAAACATCGAAGAAAATCGCGACTTTAGAAAATATCGTTAACAAATTAAACTGCAAGAATTTCGGACAGTGTTATGCCGTTGTACCAGAATCATTTGCGTATGTTGTGCTCTCATTCTAAATTCGTTTTATATATTTAGTAAACATAGAGATTTAAATGATTCAGGAATAGCTTAATGTGTTATTTAGAATATTTTCTAGAATTAACAAATGGATTTCGACCGGAAGAACTCTTATAATTGGTTACGACGTATGTCATCCGGAACCTCAGTCAAAACATGAAAGAAGAATGCGGATGCCGCCTACTCAACCAAGTGTTCTTGGTGTTCGTATTACAATAATTATTAACAGTGTAATGTAGGAATTAAAAGAGTATTGAATTCGAATTCATAAAATGGATAAAATATTCACTAATTTTTAGATTAGTTTTAATGGGGCACGTTGTCCAGAAACATTTATTGGTGATTATTCATTTCAAGAGCCGCGTAAAGAACAAGTAACAAGTTCTATTTTGGAGGAACGGATTTATTGGATTTTAAGCCTTTTTTGTGGCAATCGTAATGGTATGCTTCCTGATACTGTGATTATCACGCGTGATGGAGTATCTGAGGGGCAGTTCAAAATGGTAAGTCCGTAAAAACTTTATTCCTTTTATTGCTTTGACTACTGTGGTTTGCTTATAAAAATCTTAAGTTTTGGTGATTCATATGTTTGAAATATTTAAGGTAATGGAAGATGAAATTGAAGCGATTCGTCAAGGAATGCGTAATTTTGGAAAAGCGGAAGCTGGGACCGAAAATTACTCACCAAATGTAGTATGCATTATTGCTTGCAAAAGACACAACAAACGCTTTGCAGTTGAGAATGGTTAATTTTATCAAGTTTCGAAATTTTAAAGAATTTTAAACCAAAAATTATGAAACATTATATCAGCAAATTGTTATTTCTTTTCAATACATTCAAATTTCAGGTCGTTCGTTGGAAAACTGTTTACCGTTAACAGTAATTGACAGGGATGTTACACGTCCAGATACCACGGAATTTTTCATGCAGTCACATAAAATCATAAAGGTCTCCTTTCTATTAAGAAATTTTGAGGATAAATTAAATTATTTTAAATACATCCCGTTAGTGTTGATATTCTGTTTTATCAAATTAATGCAGGTCATGATGGCTGTAATATAGATAAATTGACAGTTACAAAGATTTAATGAATTTTATGAATTTCAGGGTACTGGAAAGTTGCCTGCATATTCAATGCCCATTAATGAAGCAAATTTAACCATGGACGAAGCACAATCACTGATGATGGCTTTATGTTTTACTCATCAAATTGTTAATCAAGCAATTTCAATTCCAGAACCAATCTATCAAGCAGATGAGTGGGCTAAAAGAGGGCGTAACAACTTTAGGGCTATGCTGTAAGTTACTTTATGTTGTTTCGGATTTAATTGTTTTTTTTTTACTTGATCATTTCTGAACAAGAATTTAAAAGTGATCTATAACTTTGCTTATGTGTGTTTGATTATGCAGGCTGTTAATTCATCTACTTTAATTACTAATTTAGGTGGTTAAATTGGGTAGTGATCATATGAATTAATATTTATACTATAGGCGACGTGTTGGTGGTAAGGAGCGCTTACCAATACTAAATGGTGGAAGCATTGACTGGAATCGTGTCACACGACGCCTTTGTTATATGGATACCGGACTCGAACTGACACGAGTAAATGCGTAAGAAAGGAATGGAAAGGAGAAGAGATCTCATTATATTGGATGCCAAATTTGCTTCTGAGAAAATTTTTTCTTGTCGATATCATTGTTATTCTGCCTTTTACTGTCAATAGTACCGTGATATCTTCTCTTTATGTTTTTTTATCATCTCCTCTTTTTATTACGTCATCCATCGTTTTTATTAAGATTTAAAGGATCTCTATGATTTTTAAAGAGCATTATCATCCTGTCGCTTATTTTCCTTTGGATTTTTAGATCCAAATATATTATTGCTACTTTTTTCTACCTGGAAAATGTTTTAGTGATGTTCAATTAAATGTTGTCCTTTACTGTTATTCTTTTGATAGTAAGAGCGTATGCTATCAAAAAATTTAAACTGAAATTCTACAAATTTCTCTGTCTCTCTATATGACTTATGTTGCTAACGCACTTGAATCTTCATTTTATTAGAAATGAATTCGTATTTTAATTTCATTATCCTTCAGTGTCGTTGTATTTGGTTAACGGTGGATAAATAAGGGAATTTTATATTTCGACGGGTTGATGAGCAAATATGTTTCCGTAAAGTTCATCGTGTTAGGAGTGAATTTCACCGTAAAGTAGATGGCTCGATGCAATTTAGCTATTGCAATCGAATCCTTGACTGCAGCATCCTTTGTATGATCTAGAAAATGTAGAGAATTGATAAATTAATTCGTATGTATGAAGTATTCCTGAATTTCATCTTGGTCATCCACACAGACCTGTTCTGTATTTTATCGTAAAATTGCCGTTTTCACAACGAACCCTGAAAGTGTGCTGCGGGACGTAATATGTGCTATGGAGAAAGGCTCGGAAGAGTGTGAATGAGGTCCGAGCTGTGATAAGTGGGTGACCTCGGGGGAAGATGTAGAGAGCTAAATTTGGTAATGCTGATCATTTTTCGCGAACTTGTGGCTTGATCTCTCTCGGTAAGACCGGTATCTTAAGATCACTATATCCTCTTTCAGGACTAAATGATGGATGATTTCGAGGATATACCGGGCAATAAGCCGTTGAGGTTACCAAAGAAAGCAGCTAAAGTGAAAAATAAGGTATGTCATTTCGAAAATAAATTCTTTAACGAATGGTTCAGTTTCACTTCCAGTTCCTGATCTTTAGATGTAGAAATTGATCACATCAAAATTTTGCGATTCTTGCAATTAGTGACTAAATTTGTGCTTTTAAAAACGATTATTTGTGTTTAGTAAGCTTTTTTTACTTCAGGTTTGAAGTAAAGAAATTGTGGTGGGTCTGATTATTTGTTTGTTTACACAGATATTTTGCAAACTTATATGTTCGTACATTTTTATCAATGCTTTCAGGCTCCAGCAGCTCTTCAAATAACAGCAGAGCAATTGTTACGTGAAGCAAAGGAGCGTGATCTAGAAATTGTTGCACCACCGCCAAAAACTAAAATATCTGATCCGGAGGAGCTAGCCGAATATCAGAGGAAACGTAGGTACGCGTCGAAAAAGTTATCATTACACATTTCGGCTCTATATAACATATTTTAACCTCAATCACCAGAAAATAAAGATGTCAAATTCATTTGGAATTTAGATCTCTGAGTTCAAAATTGTTCAAAACACTGTTGACTTATCAAGTATAGAACAGGTTGGAAGGTCAAATTTTCAGTGTATTTTCAGGAAGGAATTCGAAGATAATATCCGCAAAAATCGTTCGCAGATAGCAAACTGGGTAAAATATGCAAAATGGGAAGAAAATATAGGTGAAATGCAAAGAGCTCGTTCAGTGTTTGAGCGAGCACTTGATACTGATCATCGTTCTATCACGCTGTGGCTTCAGTATGCGGAGATGGAAATGAGGCAAATTCTTCATTTTTCTAAGAGTGCAGCTTTAGCTGAACTTGATGTAAGAAGTCTGTTACATGTAATTGCTCATTGTACTGAAATCATTTGGACTAGACTACTCTTCATAAGGTTTTAGGAACAAACAAATTAATCATGCACGAAATATTTGGGATCGAGCAATCGCCATTTTACCCCGAGCTACTCAATTTTGGTTGAAATATTCTTATATGGAAGAATTGATCGGAAATATACCTGGAGCAAGACAAGTAAGAGTTTTTCTGTTTTAACCGGAATATCTTATTTCATTTATACAGAATTGTTGCAAATATTGATAGGTTTATGAAATGAACAGGAGCAAACTTATTTGCATCCGTAATCAATAACATATGTTCCATGTGGTTCCAGTCTGTGCAGTTTAGCTTAGCTTAGGTCTTTGAACGCTGGATGGAATGGGAACCACCAGAGCAAGCTTGGCAAACATACGTCAATTTCGAGCTGCGTTACAAAGAAATCGATCGTGCGCGTACTATATGGCAGCGTTTTCTTCACGTTCACGGACACGATGTGAAACAGTGGCTGCGTTATGCAAAGTTTGAAGAAAGATTCGGCTACATCGGAAATGCTCGTGCTGTAAGTATTTTTGTGTTGATTGTGAGTTCTCATTCTTCACTTTAAAAAATATGTTTTGTTGATGATAGAAAAGATGAGACTGAAAAAAATGAAGTATAACATGTTTTGGTTTTTGACTAATGATTTCTTAACATGTGTGCTTTAAGTCGATATGTAAAGAGATTTACATATAAAACTTAACTGAGTTTGATTTTGTACAAATTTAATATAAAATGGAATTAGTATGCTTAAAATTATGCGGTAATTATTTTCTGTATTAATTGATTATGCAGGTTTATGAGCGAGCAATGGAATATTTTGGAGAGGAAAATTTAAGTGAAACATTGTTGATTGCATTCGCTCAGTTTGAAGAACGACAGAAGGAACATGAAAGATCAAGGGTCATCTATAGGTATGACAATAATTTGTTAAAAGATTTTCGTATTCGTGTGAGAGGAACAATTATTGTTTTTGATGTCGGGTTATCGGTAACAATTAAATTTGGATACGATAATTTTAAGGCATTCAGAATTAAAAGTAAATTTGTTTTTCGACTCTATTGTTCCTATGATTTTGCAGATATGGATTGAACCATCTTCCGGCTGAGCGAACTGGTGAAATATTTAAATTCTATACCATACATGAGAAAAAATATGGTGAGAGGGCGGGGATCGAAAATGTAATTGCTAGTAAGCGTCGCCATCAGTATGAAGAGGTAAATGATCTTTGAATATCTAAGAAACTCTAAAAATACGAGTATTTAATATGTTTTTATAAAGCATGCTTTTGAACTGTAACAGACAAATTGGAAAGTTTTTTTTTTTTAAATTTTACAACCTTAATTTCAGCAAATTGCTGAAAATTCGTATAATTACGATGCATGGTTTGATTACATTCGTTTATTGCAAAATGAGAAAATTAATCGTGAAGAGATGGAAGATACATTTGAGAGAGCGATAGCTAATGTACCTCTGCAACCTGAAAAGAGGTATTTTTTGAATTTAATTGGTGATTTGGGTAAATTACGGTATAGGCACGAATCCAGTACAATATGGAGTGTAGTTGGAGATGTTAAATTACATTTTGCATTTCAATCCTATTAGAGAACTGGAAATTTTATTTATTTTTGGGATAGTGGTAAGTAAAAAATAGACGTTACTGTTGGAGACTTCAACTAAAATGCTTGGTAAATGTGAAATTCATAGTATATGAAGAAAATTCTTTACAAACAATTTTACTTATGAAGTCCTTTTTTGTCAAAATTATCGTTTTCTGTTGGACAGGTATTGGCGGCGATATATTTATTTGTGGATTAATTACGCGCTTTATCAAGAATTGGATGTTGGTGACGTAGAAAAAACACGAGATGTTTACAAAGTTTGTCTGCAAGTGATTCCTCATAAGAAATTCACTTTTTCAAAAATATGGGTGATGTTTGCTTATTTCGAAGTGCGACAACTTCGCTTATCTGATGCACGTAAAATAATGGTATGTTTCAAAGTATTTAGGTCTTTTCATTTGAAATCAAATTTTATAAATGCCATAAGAAACAAAAAATGCCATAAAATTATAAATGCCATAAAACCGATTTGAAGTGAAATTTGAACGAATAAAATTTGGTGAAGTATTGCTAAATGTGCAAAAAATAATACTTTGCTCGAAGGATTATATTTTTATGGTCAAGATTGGGCAATTATAGGGAAATGCGATTGGAATGTGCCCTCGAAATAAAATTTTTCAAAGTTATATTGATCTCGAATTGCAACTACGTGAATTTGATCGGTGTCGGATTTTATATGAAAAGTTCCTGGAATACGCTCCGGAAAACAGTAATACTTGGATTAAATTTGCTGAAATGGAAACGCTCCTTGGCGATATTGATCGTGCACGCGCAGTTTTCGCTTTGGCTGTCCAACAACCTGCACTGGACATGCCTGAGGTTTGCTCGCAAATTGCCATTTCTAAAGTTGGAAAAGTGACTTTGGAGAAAAAATTTTGCTGAGTAATTGGAAATATTTAAAAATTTCAATTAAAGTTCATTCTAGGTTCTATGGAAAGCCTACATTGATTTCGAAGTGAGTCAGGAAGAATACGGTCGAGCTCGACAGCTGTACAGTAGTCTTTTGGAACGAACGAACCACATAAAAGTTTTTTTTGCTATTATTATTTTTGGAGTTTTCAGCTTTCTTCTGAGCAATTTTTTCTAGACTTCATATCCTTGTTCCATCTTACCTTATCTCTCATTATCTGGCTTTGGGTTTAAAAATTGGAAGGGCGGTCAGCAAAAAAAATAAATTAATTCCGATTCTCTGAAAAAGATGTGAATAAAGTTCTTTGATTCACAATTCTTTCAGGTTTGGATAAGTTTAGCCGAATTTGAATTATTAGTAGGTGATGTGGAGGGCGCACGCAAAACATACGAACGCGCGAATAGGAACCTAGCAAGTAGTGAAAAAGAAGAAAGGTTATTGCTTCTCGAGTCATGGATGTTGTTTGAAACCAAACACGGCGACAAGGATTCTGTAGCGGCAGTAAGTAGTTTCATTGATTCCAGGGATATTTATAAATAACGTATTTGTACAGTTAATCTGGACTTGTCGATTGAATTACTATCTTTGTCTAGTTTTAGATTCATGTTTTGATATTTATTGCAAAAAAGATTTAGTTCTTATAGCTTTTGAAATCAAAAAGTGGAATTTTTTTCTACATATCAAAATTTCTCGTTTATCGATTATTGACCGGTTCAAAGGGTCATGTGACTACGATTAGATTATTTCAGAAGTGTCTCATTTCTTTTACATCGTCCACTTATTTGTGAATGTCATCTATATTGAGATTATAGTGGGATATGAACATTTGTTGTGCATTACTGTAATAGGGAGAAAACCAAAGCGAGAAGACTTATTTATTTATAAACTTGTCATTTTCTTGTGTAATCAGTTCAGCAGACAAAGTTTGTTTCGCCGAATTTCCATTTTCTATGTGACTTTAGAATTTTTCATTTTTCTCCGTATCTGACTTCTTGCTATGCCTCTTGATCATAATTTATAAATCATGGGAACAATTTTCCAGGTTTCTCGTCTAATGCCAAAAAAAGTGAAAAGACGTCGGCAGGTTCAGACCGAGGATGGTGTGGATGCTGGTTGGGAGGAATATTTCGATTACATATTTCCAGACGAACAAAGTAAGATATAATTTTTATTGTAAATATTCTTATCGCGCCATTGTAAATGGCAATCGTTTTATTGTTTTTATTCTAGCTTCGAAAGGCAGTATGAAGTTATTCGAAGCTGCTCGCAGATGGAAGGAGAAACTTTCACAAGTAGCTTTATCTGTTGAAAAAGATGAGGACAGAGATGTGAAAGACAGTGGCATCAAAGACGAGGCAACAGAACGAAGAATGAAAGTGCGCGAGAATGATTCAGATACTGACATATCGACATCCTCTTCGTCATCGTCAGATAGTGATTCTGAATCAAGTTATGAGTCAGAGGATAGTGGTTCGGATTCAAATTCCGAAAAATCTTGAATGCATACGAAGAAAGAATAGAAAGGTAGGGTTAGTAGATATTTCCCTTCTTTTCCCTACTTCATCGCTAGATCTTCTGACTCGCAATGTTTTATTTTCGAAATGTTTGTACATATTGATCAAATTTCATATGTATCAGAAGAAATGGAAGGAGATTTTTTTTTGAATTTGTTTATAATTTTTCATCTCGCTGTATCCGATGAAATAAATTCTTATTCAAATCAAACTTTTCTAATATATCAACAGCCTTCAATGCTTTTTATCATGTTGCAATATAAACCATTGTTCTCATATTTATTACTAGTTTTAAATAATATATAAAGTATAGTCGAAACATTATCTCGTTATGAGGAAAAAAGCTGTTGTCTTATTGATTTCAGGGATTTCTGTAATGGATCTTTGTATATTTCTTCTTTTGTACAAGGTTTTCCTGGTGTATTTTAAAAATAGTTGCGGGTTTTACGCTCATTTAATTTTCTCTGCTATTTGTTGCGACGAATTTACTAAAAGAAGGTTTTATCTTTTCTAGTTAGGCGATAGGGATTCATTTACTCTAGTTCATGTAATAATGAAAGCTTGTGAGTCCTGGAAATCTAAGTTGGTTATTGAGATTAGTTTTAGTGATTGTATTTTAGTTGTTTAGCCAAAAATTACTGCATAGCTTTTGCTGCGATAGTTATGGTAATTTAAATCTGAATCTTATTGACAAAAAAATTTTATTAAATCTAAATCTGATTAATAGGTTTTTATATAACTTTTGGTATATTAATCGAAAAAGCCATAAATGCAGTCTGTTATATCCATGATTGTTCAATTTTTTTGCAGTTAAAAAGTAATTTTCCTCAGTCATTCACTTCCCTTCGTTTTCTGTATATGCTCCTGCTATGTAATATTGAATTATATATATTGAATGCACTCACTCTTCTCATAAGCGCTTTATTTTTCCTTCTATTTTCAGTGTTAGGCTATTTATTTCTGAAATAATTTGGAATTTAGAAATCGAAAATTGCTTGATATTTGAAAATAAACTTGAATTCTTTTCACTCCATGACAAAATTGTCAGCTTCTTGATTTTCATTTCATTAATTCAACATAGGAAGTGAAATGTAAATGGTATGCAGCAGAGCAGTGGCTATTGGTTGCTTCTATCATTTTGTTCAATTTTTGGTGATTTTGTGAAGATGACAGATGAGGAAAATGTGCGGAGTCTGTGAAGATCATCTGTGTCGGTAGGTTTTTGTATTATTTCGCAGAATCGGATTGCTTTGCATGTGCTGGAAAAAAGAATCGGAACGTCAGTAGTGTCAATATAAATATGCATTCTATTGATGTGTAGGCTGAGTGATAGCAAATATTGGTGAACTAATTAAATAGGAAAAGAAAAGCAGAATTGATTCACTGATTCCGTAATCGTCGTCTTTTCCTTTTTTTTTAAAAGAAAATCACATGGCTGTATCTGCTACCACTGTTTTAAATAATCTTGATGACTTTCATCTCGTGATGGCTTATGTTTTGCTATTTCTCGACTAGTCAACATTGAATTTTTTTTTTACATCACAAAACCAATTTTTGATCCAGAAATCTTACTAGGTAGCGTTTATTGTAAAAATTATTTCGTACTTAAAAAAAAGATTGCTATCACAGGCAAAAGTTTTAGCTCATTTTTAATCATTCGACAAATTCAGTAAACTCAGTCAGAGGAATCAAAGGAAAAGTGCTGCTTTGTTTATTGCTGTTATCAAATAATCGAGTGGTAAGGTGCGGAAACTGCTATTCGAATGAGCATTCGGGAATGATGCATATTTTATGGACTAATGGGAGTTCTTGGCTTTTCAGTTCAGTTTGGAACTGAACTGAAATACTATTATCTATTTTAAAAGTGTTGTTTCTCCCTTTTCCCCTCAGGCTGAAATAAATTACTAAGGAAAATGTAAGTGTAGTAAGATGCTCTCTATTCCTTTTCATTCTGTCTTACCAATTTATTTATTAAAAGGTACAACTGCAGCAGTTGTGTGCTTAGATTTCAATTTTTGATATAAGTATATATCAAAATTTACTATATATTTCAGTTCCTATTAGAAATTGCTAGTAAGGAAACACTGAAAAATCCCTTGCTTGTGATATTTTGAAGTTTTGATTGGTTCCTTCGAAAGAAATAAATCAATTGACAGATTGAGAGATCAAGCAGCTAAATTTTTTAGCATCACTAAATTTCTTACTTATTTGATCATGACATTTGATATCGCTTATCACAGGTCAAAATATTAAAAATAATCGTGCTTATTCCTGCTTAAACAAAATGGACGATGATGAATATTTGATTATAATATCATAGATTGTAAGCAGATATGAAAATTATACATATGAAGTATTACATTTATGCTAACCCTCAAGCTCATTTTTTGGGTACAAATAAACATTACATAAATGATAGAAATTGTTGAATTCAACAGAAGAAAATATCCCTCATTGAAAATGTCAGCTGCACATAGTTGAAAAATGAGATGATACGTTTAAATAACTATTAGCCGAGATTGATTTCTGATTAACATGACACTAAACATGAAAGTGACTTACGATAGTGCAGCCATGAGAATCAAATCTAAAAGAGACAAAATGAAAGTAAATTTAGCATTGTCATTTCAGTGAGGCAAACTCATCTAACTGTTTTAATGTTTTCTTCCGCCAATTATGTAAAATTATTTTTTAGATATGACTACATTATATTTAAACGACTTTTGGGTCGCTCGGTTTTTCTTCATTCTCTTAAGTTATGGAACTATTTCGATTCCTGTAGTTCTCCTGGTTTTTTATGTTCGCCGAAAAACTACCGGTAAATATTTTTTTTATTTAGTAAGTTTATGCCACTGAATATCGGTTTATAATGAAGTAATATAAATTATTATTATTGTTTGGTAGAGTATTATGAAGCTTTTGCACATAATAAGCTTCATTTCCAGAAGATGGTTTCGAGCCTACAACACTTTTCCGTTCATTTCTACACAGGTTTGCTCTTGGAAAACCTGAATATGAATTGATGGTTTCTGACTCTGTAAAATTGACTTCAGTCGTTTCGCAAAAAAGGAATCTCCGCAGTGATTCTTTCTATCTTATTTTATGTTTTTCAAGTCTTCAAGCCACTCTTGTTTCAATGGGTTATATCCAAGAACGGATTATGACACAGGTTATTAAATTTTGTTCTCACTGGTGCATTTTTTTGACACAGTATTAATTCAACAAATCACTCGGACTGAAATATTTGAGTTTTTACTTGATCTTTATGAGATTATTTTTGCAAAAGTTGATTATCCAGTGCATCAATTTTTTACCTCCAGTATTTTGTGAATAAATTGCAAAGATTTGTATGATGTGTCATAATGGAGAACAGAAGTTATTTGAAATAAAAATAAGTAGCTAAAGACGTTTTCTTCGAATGATTTCTTTCTAGACGTTTGCTTATGTATTTTTTAGATTTGAAGGCTGGAAGAATTGATTATTTTTATTCCAGGCCTACTTATCAACTGTGGATAATCAACTAAACAAATTTGAAAATACACAGTTTCTTGTTTTTATGAATCGTGTTTTTGCTATTATCCTATGTGCAGCTTACTTGGTTTCGAACTGGAAAAGGTTTTTTCGTAATTTATTTATCAAAAATTTTACGAAATTTATGGAATAGCCTTTTATGATTTTAGAAAGAATTTATAGTAATAAGAATAAATGAAATTAAAGCGGAATCCACAAGACTGTAACAGTTGAAAATTATGAACGTAGAAGTCAGTATGAGGTAGCTTTATTATTTAAAATCGCTAATTTATTACAGAGAACCGCCTCATGTTCCACCGTTTTACAAGCATTCGTTTACGTCATTTTCCAATACACTTTCATCGTGGTGCCAATACGAGGCACTAAAATACGTTTCATTTCCAACTCAGGTACTTTCAGAAATTGATGACACTCAAATAAAAAAGTGAAAAATAAGTACAAGGCTTTGATACATTAATAATTCACCAAAATATATTGTAAAAGGGAAATCTTTGTCAGAATCAGGGAGATGACAATCTTTTTATAATGAAAACGAAATCAAGTATTTTAGATAGTATGCAAAGCATCGAAAGTGTTGCCAACGATGTTGATGGGTTTCATTGTTAGAGGTGAGCGTTATGGATATGGCGAATGTGCTTGTGCTATTGTGCTTGCGTTTGGAGCGTCGTCGTTTCTTCTGTCGAACAACTCTAAGGGGCTTGGATCTTATGGTAATGCCTTTAAAACATGTTTAATAGCAGTAATGAAAGAAAAAAAACTAGTGATTGAAAAAGTGCCAATAATTCCAAGAATAGAATAAACAATGAATAAACAGTTTCTACTGAAAGTGGATAAGCTTCTTTTATTTTATGATTTTGCTAAAAAATGGAAATATGTGAGGAAATCGAAGTAAGAAGTAAATATATTGAAACAAAGAAGAAAATCGAAATAAGAAGCGAATATGTTAAAAAAATTCATCCGGTAACATGGACATTGTTAATCTTCATGAAATACCATGTCGTTGTAAATACAAAAAAGGCTATGGGAGTTAAGATCAATTTGCTGAAATATTGTTTATGCTGTCAATTTTCTTAATTCTTTATCAAAACTTACAGGCAATGATAACTTCATTAAATTATAGCAATTTTATCTTCTGATCGTGTGACTACTGTTTCGGGGATTTGTTTGATGTCTGGTTATCTCTTATTTGATGCTTTTACTTTGAATTGGCAAAGGAAACTATTTGATGTCCGTCCACGAGTTTCCAGATACCAGGTTTTCTAATGAAATGGTTGAATGTTAGGAGTTCACATAATATACGGCTCATGAATTTGATTTTTCTAGTTTCATTATGTTAGAAAACTATATAGT